TCAAAAAGGCTCTGTCTCGGAAAAATCAGCCTAAAGAATGGGAGAAATATTATAAATCATGTACCTGATCCCAGCACTCAGGAGGCAGAGGTAGGTAGGTCTTTGTGAGTTCAAGGCCAGACTGGTCTACATAGTGAGTTCCAGGCCACCTGAGGCTACAGGGAGACCCAGTCTCAAAACAAACAAACAATCAAAAATTACAAAGAATTTTTATGCTACATTAATAAAAAGATAAGTATAGCAATTAACAAAAGGAGAATCTAAATAGACCTTTCTCCAAAGAATATGCGAAAAGGGCCAATAAACAGGCAAAGAAATGCACAGTTCCATCAGCCATTAGGAAAAGGCAAATCCAAATGACATAGATCCCATTTCATACCCATCAGGATGGCTATAATCAAAGACAGACAGAAACAAGAGTTGGTAAGAAAGTGAAGAAACTGGAACTTTCCCAATTGTTGGTGGAATTGTTAAATGGGGTGGCCTTTTTGGAAAACAGTTCAGGAATTTCTCAAAATGTTAGGTGTAGTGTTAACATATGACACAGAGGTTGCATTCTTGATAGATATCCAAGAGAACTGACCACAAACGATCACACAAAATTTGTAAGCCAATATTCATCACAACATTCTTCATGAGTGCCAAAAGTGCAAATACCCAAATTTCTGTCAACTGAAGAAGGGATGAATAAAATGTAGTCTATTCATGCAATGAAGCATTTTCAGTCATAAGAATAAAGTACTGATTCATGCTACAACATATGTGTACCTTGAAAACATGTAAGTGAAAGAAGTCAGGTATAAAAGACTACACCCTGTATGGTTCTATGTATACATGAAGAACAGGCAAATACAAGAAAAAGAAAGCACCTCAGTGGTTGCCTAGGGTTGGCGGTGGTGGTTGGTTGCACAATTTTGTGAATAAACTAAAAATCTACTACCTTTAGATGAGTGAATTGTATGGCATCTGAATCACATCTTAGTAAAGTTCCATTTCTGCTTTTTATTTGTTTCCTGTTTTTTTTTTTTTTTTTTTTTCTTTTTTTTTTTTTTTTTTTTTTGCTTTTGAGACAGTCTGTTTGCAGCCCAGGCTGGCCTTGAACTCACAGCAACACCCTGTAGTATGGGACTGCAGGCATCATGTGAACCACCACACTAGCTGTGTGGGTGATGTTGTTTTGTCTTAGTTTTCTAGAAAGTATAATGTGGAAAAAAAAGAGTAGCAATTGAAAATTAAAAAGTAAATCTGAGGTAGTGAAACAGAGAGAGTGCAAAACTTCTATTTTTAGCTTTGATAGTCTAACTTTAGCAAGAGCCCTGGCCTGCAATACTATACTTTAGCATTCCAACCTCATACATAGGTTTGCCCTTTTCATAAGAACCATCTCTACAGGGTTTGCTTTTTAAAAATGAATTAAGCATTAAGAATACACTAAAAATAGCAGTCTCTTATTTAGTCTTATGTGATGCCTGGCTCCCCAACATGTTATAGCAGAATTATAGTTTTATTTTGGTACATGTGGTAGCAGTGTGAAGATGGAAGACTTTTTCCATAGCAATTAAGATTGGGCTACTTGGGGGCTGAAGGGATGGCTCGGTGGTTAAGAGCACTGGCTGCTCTTGCAGAGGACCCCAGTTTGATTGATAGAACCCACATGGCAGCTAACAACCATCCATAATTCCAGTTCCAGAGGATCCAACACCCTCTTCTGGTCTCTGAAGGCACTGCATGCATGTGGTACACTTACATACACGTAGTCAAAACACACATTTTTAAAAAAGGGATGGGGCTGGAGAGATGGCTCAGCAGCTAAGAACAGTGGTTGTTCTTGCAGAAGACCCAGGTTCGAATCCCAGCACCCACATGACAGCTAACAACTGTCCATAACTCCAGTTCCAGGGGATCTGATGGCCTCTTCTGTCCTCTGCGGGCATAGCATGACACAGGTGCACTTACCTATATGCAGGCAATATACTCATACACATAAAATAAAAGTAATAATTAAAATTTTTTTAAAAAAGGTTAGACCACTACCAGGCTGTAATATCAGACTGCTTAGACTCTTAAGAGTGTTTTTGGGAGCATGTCATTAGATATAAAAGGCAGGTGTAATAGTACTATTTCATGTTATTCTGTGAACTAAAGTAAATGAGCATGTAAACAATCTGGAATGGTATCCAGAACACAGTAAGTACTAAAATAACTATTGTTAGTTGCTAACTATAATAACTGTAACAGGGAATTGAGGCTATTAAGAAATGGATGAGAGCTGGGTGTGGTGGCGCTTGCCTTTAATCCCAGCACTCAGGAGGCAGAGGCAGGCAGATCCCTATGAGTTCAAGGCCAGCCTGATCTACATAGTGAATTCCAGGACAGCTGGGGCTACAGGGAGACCCTGTCTCAAAAAGACCAAAAAATTTAAAAAAAATAATAAATAAAATAAAATAAAATAAAAATGGCTGAACAAAGCCGGGCTTGGTGGCGCTTGCCTTTAATCTCAGCATTTGGGAGGCAGAAGCAGGTGGAGCTCTGTGAGTTCAAGGTCAACCTGGTCTATGTAGTGAGTTGTAGGCCAGCTGGGGCTACAGGAAGACTCTGTCTCAAAAAACAAAAACAAAAACAAAAAAAAAAAAAGAAAGAAAAAAGAAAGAAGAAAATGAGGTGAACAGGCCTAGGGAGATGGCTTGGTTGGTAAAGTACTTGTTACACAAATATGAGAACTCCATTCAAACCCCAGAACCCATGACAAAAACAGGTGCACCTTTAATCCCAGGACTAAAAAGGAGACCGGAGAATCCCTGGGGCGCTAACCAATACATAGAGGAATTTACCAGAGGCTGCTTTCAAAAAAAAAAAAAAAAAAAAAAAAAATACAGAACAGTGAGTGAGGAAGACACCCAGAATCAACCTCAGGCTGCACACATACCAACGTACACATGTGCACATACACACAAACGTACACACAAAGAAATGGATGAAAACAAGATTACAATGTAAACAATTGAGCACTAGCATCATCGTACATGCAAGAGTTTTTCAGGTTTACTATTAGACAAATATGTTGTATATTTTGTATATTGTATAGTCAAGGTATTTGAATAGTTTTCACATTTACTGCTCGAATATTCCTTTCTTTTTATTTCTTTTTGAGACAGGGTCTCTCTGTAGTCACAGTTGGCTTGGAACTTACTATGTAGTCCAGGCTGGCCTTGATCTCACAGAGATCTGCCTGCTTCTGTGCCACCATGCCTGGCTCTGATAGAATATTTTTGAAAGCATAATGTAACTGTGAAGTTGAATGAGTATTTTTCAGAGAGCACAGTGTAAATCAAGTAATGCTAAAGAGCCTGGAATTGTGTGTGTGTGCTGTGAGGGCGTTGGTTTGTTTTTGTTTGTTTGTTTTTTGGTCTTTTTGAGACAGCGTCTCTCTGTAGCCCCAGCTGTCCTGGAACTCACTATGTAGACCAGGCTGGCCTTGAACTCACAGAGATCCTCCTGCCTCTGTCTCCTGAGTGCTAGAGTGCTAGGACTAAAGGTGTAAGCCACCACGCCCAGCTTTTGTTTGCTTTTTTGAGACAGTCTTCTAGCAACCCAGCTGGCTTGGAACTTGCTATGCAGAGTAGGATGTAGACCAGGCTGGCCTCATGGCCAGGCCAGTACTTGGAATTTGAATGAAAGTCTCCTCCATTCCTCCTGTAAGTAGTAGTATCCCACCAATATTTTCCTACAGTGAGTAGCAGGCAGTTTAATGGAAACGTTTTTTTACATTTTTATTGTGTGTGTATGTGTGCATGAATGCACAATACAAAAAATACGTGTTAAGATCAGCTTGTGGAGTCTCTTCTCTTTTCACCATGTGAGTCCTGGGGATGGAACTCAGATAGTCAGGCTTGACAGCAAGCACCCTTGGACATAATGAGCTAGAACAGCAGCCCCGTTTTTATAATTCTTTATTTTTAATTTCTATTTTTTTCCTACCATATTCTGTGTCAAAGGAAAAAGGTTCAAAAGTTCTGCTATATCTAAATACTTAAAGCTTGTAACCAAATGCGCTTGAATTTGCACGGACACTATTGCTTGAATGGGATTCAATGTTCTCAACTAATATCAATGTTTTCATGTCATTTCTAAATTAATTCCCAAAATTATTTTCTTTTCACATATATACTCAAGGTGCTCGAAAATATTACTTCTCGAGCACATTTTACCAGCAGCACAGCCACACAGGCCTTGGGTGACCAGATATTAAAGCTCAATCAGTCGGATTGATTCTGGAAAGATTCCCGAAATCTGCTTTTTGCGGGATTGAGGGGCGTCTAGCGCTGCACTGTCAGGAGCTAACTGCTCTAAAAGCATGGTCGCAGGGACCGGAATAGGCGCGCAACGCGAGACGTTCATCCAGTATTTGAGTCCGTCTGTCTCGGTGAGAGGAAGCTGGAATTCCATCCCTCGTTAAACAGAACTCCATTCGCTGGGAAGGGCGGAGGAGGCTCCGCCACCCTGCAGCTCGGGCTCCGTCACCGCGCGGGCGCAGCCTGCTCCAGGCCAGTGCGGTACCTCACCCCCCACCCCCGGAAGTTTGTGCGTCTCCAGTTAGTAGGTCTGGGAGTCACCTTGACCCTCCCAGAAAGGTAGAGAAAGTTAGTCCCCGGCCGGAGGCGCAGTGGGTGAAACCCCAGACAAGAGAACACTTTCATAAGCAGAAGACACCCTCATATTTTCCAGTTTTCAGGGTACCTAAAGAGCGAGAGTTCAAGGGTGACAAGAGCAGGTGGCTTAGCTCCGCCCACGACACTCTTCCCCACCTTCCCCACCTTCAGCGAGCACGCTTCACTCTACCGTGAGATCCCGCCTCTCAGGCGCGCGCGAAGAGTTGCCGCGCGGTGCAGACTGGGAGTTGTAGTTCCAGAGTGGCCATCCGCCTCAGGAGACAGGACTGCGGCCTACATGCCCCATGGTGCTGTGCGACGCTGGCCGCTCCCGGATGTGTGCCTGGCGCCGGAAGAGAAGGCGCCCCCCCTCTCTCGGCCCGGCCATCTTGTGGGAAGAGCTGAAGCAGGCGCTCTTGGCTCGGCGCGGCCCGCTGCAATCCGTGGAGGAACGCGCCGCCGAGCCACCATCATGCCTGGGCACCTACAGGAAGGCTTCGGCTGCGTGGTCACCAACCGATTCGACCAGTTATTTGACGACGAATCGGACCCTTTCGAGGTGCTGAAGGCGGCGGAGAACAAGAAAAAAGAAACCGGCGGGGGCGGCGTTGGGGGCCCCGGGGCCAAGAGCGCTGCTCAGGCCGCGGCCCAGACCAACTCCAACGCGGCGGGCAAACAGTTGCGTAAAGAGTCGCAGAAAGACCGTAAGAACCCGCTGCCCCCCAGCGTCGGCGTGGCTGACAAGAAAGAGGACACGCAGCCGCCCGTGGCGCTTAAGAAAGAAGGTAAAGCCGGTCGAGGCGGCGGGGAGACGCGGGCTGGAGGGCAGGACGGGGGCGTGCGCCACCGCTAGCCTCTGCAGTGCGAGGGGCGTCCCGCCGGCCCACGCTGCCACAGCCGGGCGCCACGGTGCGAGAGCGATCTTGCTCCGAGTCCGCGTCGCTCGCAGCCGGCGCCAGCCTTCCCGCCTCGCGCGGACGCAGCGTGTTCCGAGGGCGGCCCGGGCGTTCCCGCCGACTCCGGCCCGCCCGCTCTCCGGGTGCCCTGCCCGCCTCGGCTCCTGTCCTGCCATCTTGTCCCACGATGGCGCGGACCCTCGTGGAAGGGCCGCTGCTCGTAGTTTGGGGTTCAGTCACGGTGGGGGAAGGTGCTGTCGGGTCCCACGTGGCTTTTTTCTTGTTTTTCTTTTTGGCTCCCCATCACTCAATATTCACAGTCGTACTGTAAGTTGCTTGAAGTGGTTGAAGTCGTTGGGAAGGAGAGGTTATGCGGGAGTAGTGCATGAAGACTGTCGCATCCCTCCATCCAACTCCCCGTACTCCCTAGTTCTCGGGGCTTTTCCAGGTCCGGGCCTCGTGGGTGGGAGTGCCTAGGTTGTCACGACCCGGCAGGGAGCCCCAACCTGAGCTTTTCCTGCGCACGTGCGGGAAGCGTGCTCAGATATTCATTGGCTGTGAATAGTTCCTGCCGGAGCGCTCGCTGAAAGTTTCAGAGTTTGGATTTTTGCCTTCTTTCTCATTACTGATTTCTTGTGAGTGAAAAAGCAAAACCGGTTGGGATTACGACGAAAGCGTGCAAGGTGCAAGATCGACAGCAAGTAGGCGTAGGATCTAAACCCAGTCCTTCAAATTGCTCTTGCAGGTTAACGTTGCCGCTCACTGCCACGTGCTCCTGAAAGCTGTTGCTTCTCACTAGGTTTGGGGTTAAGAATATTTCTGAGGGGAGAGGGAGAACTTTACAGAGGCTTGACATGAAACACCCAAGACCTGCGTGCCGAATAAAAGGGAAGAATATTGGGTTAAATCGAATAGATTTCGAGGGGACAGCATAGTTTGGAGCCTCAGAAATCATGTGTACATCACTTAGGCAAAGTGTCTACTCAGCCAGTAAAGTTTTATGACTTTACACAATTGAGTGAGGCGTCAAAGAATACTGGCTAAAATTTATCTCCTGATGACACTAGTTCAAAGAAAGTACCTGAGTAAATCGAGTCTGAAACACAGTTGAATGGGCTCCCTCATTTAAAATGTTGAAAGCATGAAGCATGGTTTAAATTCCTCATTGTTTGGAACATGAATCTCATCTATGAAATGAGCTCTTAACCTGGAAACTAGCCTTCTAAGTCATAAATGCAGGGGAGGCTTTCATTTGTGACCCGGATTAAGTTTGTCATTTACTTAAGTCATTCTTTTCCTTTGGAAACCTTTTCCACATCCATGATAAGTATTTTCCTTTTTAGAATTTTTTTTCGTTGTTGTTGTGCTGGGATTTAAACCCAGGTCCTTGCCCCATGCTAGGCAAATGCTCTGCCTCACCTCCTATAAGAGCCCTCTTAACCTAGAGTTGGTATAAAAGGTTTATAAATGTAGAGAAATTTTGAATGAAAACCAACATTTTCAGATCCTATCACCTGTCAGTCCCTGTTCTGTGTATAGGGTGGTGGTTGGTAGACTTGTAAACAGTCTCTAACCCTTAATAGTAAGATGATTATTACTATTAAGGTCCTGTGTAACACAGTGATGAACTAAGTTTACCTTACGTGAATTTCATAGCTTCTGTTTATTTGAAGAACTTGGGAATTGACAGCAGAATGTCATTGATTACAGACCAGGTTTTTAGATGAAAAATAAAAAAGGACTATAGTGCAGTTAACTCAAATGTAGGTAAGCACATCAAAAGAAGCTTGCATACTTTAAAAAGTATCAGTCATTTTTCATTAGATGAATTTAGTTTTTGTGGTGCTGGTGATAGAACTCCGCTTTTTGTAAACTAGGCAAATTCTCTTCCATGATGAATTTAAGAAGTTTTTTGAGATTTTTGTAGGTCTAGTATTGAATATTGGGTGGGGAAGCAAGCCATTGTCAGTTGGGTGTGTTTAGCTTGGTTATTAAAGCCTGAGCTGGTTCCATAGCTCCACCCTAATAGACAATCTCTGATGAAATTTATTTAAATGTCTTGGTAGAATAAGGTCTGTACTTAGGTTTGTCCAGAGAGTTTACAGATAGTGAACTTTAAAAGTTTATTAGATTCATATTTACTGTTTTGACTGTAGTTATCAGTTTGAACAAATGGTTTTGTCCTTATGGTGTTCCATTTTCTTAGAATCAGTCACATAGCTTGAGATTTTACAAGATCCGTTTCTCAGCTGGTTTTTGACTGTCAGAAACTGGTTTGGTAATTATAGCATACTTGAAATCTTAATCATGTATTTAACCATTAATTTATCTTTTTAAGAGTACCAATAATTCATATTGGTTCTTTTTGTGAGTTCTCACGTTATCAGAAAAAAATAAAGGCGGGAAAAATCACTAAATGCTTTAGCTTTCACCTGGAGCCACAAGTTTCCCAAACCAGGGCTTTGTGCATTGTTCACACACTCTGCCACTGAGCTATAGCCATAGCCCCTTTCTTACATAATTGACCCTTTTGTGTCTGGTTTTTAAAAATGCTCTGACAACAAAGATACTTGTAAGGACAGACTTGGGGTTTTCACTTGTAACTAATAACTGAAGTGTTTTCTAATGGCTACATGATAAGTGTTTTTTAAAAGGTGGAGTTGGGATTTGGGAGTACATAAGATGTGCGTGTACAAATATTTGCATTTTGAGTGCTACGTATCTGAGGAAGTTAGTATTTTTTTCTGGCTAAATAATAGCCTAGTTTGCTTTGGAGTAGGGGATGTTGGGGACTAAGGCTGGCCTTGGACTTGCCTTGCCTCAGCCTTTCTAGTGCTAAGATTGCAAGTACCATGTCTAGCTCAAATAGCTATTTGGGGGCTGTTTCTAGTACTCATAAATGCCCCATAAGTGCTTGGTTATATTGGTTTTATCTTTCATGTCCTTAAAACCAAAAACATACCACTTGACTGAAATCTCTGTAAGTTAAAATTTTTGTGGTAAGAGACATTGACTTTCTGAAAAGAGGAATGATGGTGTCCAAATGATTTCTAAACCTGCTTTAGAGTATCCTGCTTTATAGTATCCTTGTGGATGAAATTTGAAATGTTTGCTATTGAATAAGAATTTGCTTAAAGTAGTTTGTTACACATTGGGGATGCCCATTGTTTGTTGTCTAGGCCTACATTTTTTATATTGCAAAAATGATTTGCTTATGCTGGTTATTATAAGGAATAAGGCGAGTTGGAAGAAGACCTGATCAACAACTTCAGGGTGAAGGGAAAATAATTGATAGAAGACCAGAAAGGCGGCCACCTCGTGAAAGAAGATTTGAAAAGCCACTTGAAGAAAAGGGTGAAGGAGGTGAATTTTCAGTTGATAGGTAAGCTTTTGAAAGGTCTCCCTCCCTGTTTTGTCACTGTGTATAGTTAGATCTTAATGTAAAGCTATAAATTGGGCATAATAGCCAGGTAGCAGTGGGGGTAACTGCTGTCAAATTTTCAGAGAAATGTGAACCTGTGTTGTTAACACGTCTTTGGATAACATGTTCTATTAGATCTCTTAGAGTAGATATTTTGAGTTGATGGCCACTTTCTTTTCCTTGAGCTCCCCAGATACCAACTTTAAAAGGACAGTGGTATAGACTGATTGTTTATAACAAAAAAGGTTCAATGTGTTTATTGAAGTTTTTAAGTGTATTGGTAAAGAGTAGTTTTACCAAAATATGTGCACTAGCAAAAATGCTTTAAAGAATATTAAGAGTTTTCTCATTCTGGCTTCCTTTATGTGATTAGAAGTAGACTTGGAATTTTCTAAAGCATGTGTTTAGTTGTTGAGTTGTGAGTCTGTAAGCATATTCTATATATTTTTTGAGCCTTTGAATGGATTTTTTTCCTATTTCTGGAAACAAAAGTACAGCTTTTCAAAATTTGTATTGTAGACCGATTATTGACCGGCCAATCCGTGGCCGCGGTGGACTTGGAAGGGGTCGAGGCCGTGGACGTGGAATGGGCCGAGGAGATGGATTCGATTCTCGTGGCAAACGTGAATTTGACAGGCATAGTGGAAGTGATAGATCGTAAGTCTTACATTGTTTTATGTTTTAGATTTAAATGTGTTTATTTAGTAAAAAACATAATTTGAATTTCTAGAACTAAAGAGTATAATGTTAACTCAGTTTTGTTAGTTCTTTTTCACATTACAGTGGCCTGAAGCATGAGGACAAACGTGGAGGTAGCGGATCTCACAACTGGGGAACTGTCAAAGATGAATTAACGTTGGTATTCTGATTTTTTAAGTTAAATAATTTCAATAAAGTTTTTTTTTTTCCAATAAAATTGAACTGTGTCTTACTAGAGACTTGTTGATAATTAAATTTTTGTCCCTGAGGCAAGATGGGATATTCTTTTTCAAAGCTGTTATCTTACAGTGCCTTATGGGATAAATTTGGATTATAGTGTATCAGATGAAGAATTTTTATTTTCTTTTTATGTGCTGAGTGTATTGCCTGCATGTGTGTAAGTGCACTAGTGTCCTGCAGTGCCTGCAGAAGTCAGAAGAGGGCATCAGATCCCTTGGAACTGGAGTTATAGACAATCGTTAGCTGCAGTGTGGGTGCTGGGAACCAAACCAGGTTTCTCTGCAAGAGCAACCAGTACTCTTAAACTGCTGAGCCATTTCTGCAGCCCCAGCTGGCCTGGAACTCACTGTGTAGACCAGGCTGCCTTGATCTCAGAGATCTACCTGCCTCTACTGGGATTAAAGGCATGTACCACCATGCCCAGCCATGCTTGTTTTTTTTTTTTTCTGTTGTTGTTGATTTTTTAATGCATTTTTTATGTGGCAATTCCTGAAACCTACACTGAATTCCTACACTGAATTTCTACACTGAAGCTACTTGAGTATTATGACTTCTTTTTTGTCTTTGTTTCTTTTCTAACAGTTGTATTCAAGTCCTTAGAAAATTTTATAAGCCAGTAAAACTTAGTGTAGGCCTGTAAAGTTGAAGGCCAGCCTGGGCTACATATCCCATTGCAAACAACAAAACAACAACAAAAATCTAAGTTTTACTGGCTTTGCTTTAAAAGTGAGCTAATTTAATATTAATAGCTTATTTTCTTTTAGAGGTCATCTGGGGAGTAAAATTAGAAAAATGTAATGAATGTAAAACTTTTCTGTTATTTTTGTATGAAAAACTTTCAACTACATGTAAATGGACCTAGATGCCTTTCTTTTTCTTCTTTCCTTAGAGAGTCTCCCAAATACATTCAGAAACAAATATCTTATAATTGCAGTGATTTGGATCAATCAAATGTAACTGAGGAAACACCTGAAGGTGAAGAACATCCAGTGGCAGATACTGAAAATAAGTAAGTGATTTTGTGTGAGGAATAAGTGATCCAACATTGAAATCCATCTTAATTTTTACCAGTAACTCAGATTTTATACTGTAATTTGAGAAGCTCTCTATTTTGAGATAGGCCAACTCAGGTTGGTCTGAAACTCAGGATTCTTGTGCCTCAACCTTTGCATGCTGGTAATGCAGGACTGTACTGCCATGCTTGACATAGTGTTGGTTTGCACATTACCATTGTTATTCATCTTAGAAAAATAAGAAATATAAGTATTTTTAAGCAATGCCTATTCATAATACCTAACCACAAGGATGAAGAATAGTAATAAGGTGCTTGAACTTATACCTTATTTGAACTTACTGTCTTATTTGATAGAAAAGCTGTAGTGAGGTCATAGCTCAAAGTAATTTCCACATTTTACTATTAACATATTAAGGGCTGGAGAGATGGCTCAGTGGTTAAGAGTGCTGACTGCTCTCACAGAGGACCTGGGTTCGATTCCCAGCACCCACATGGTGGCTAACAGCCATCTGTAACTCCATTTCCAGGGGATCCAACACCTTCTGACTTCTGCATTGCACAGCACTGGTGCAGTTACATGCAGGCAATATATTCATACACATAAAATAAAAAATAATAGAAATTTTAAAACCCAGTTATGCTACATACTAAAACCAGACAACCTGAAAATATGATTAAGATTAGTTTCAACTCTTTAAGTTTTTTTTCTTTTAACATGGATTTGGAACAGCAAATTGTTTTGAATGTATGAAAAGAGCAGTGATGAGAATATACTCCTAGGTTACTAAGCATTCTTAATGTCCATTTTCTACTAAGGTTAAAAATTTGACTTGGGGGAGCTGGAGAGATGGTTCTGAGGTTAAGAGCTTTTGCAGAAGACCCGGGTTCAGTTCCTAGTACCCATATCACATGGTTCACAACTACCTGTAACTCCTGGGGGATCCAGCACCTTCTGGTCTCTCCCAGGGCCACCTACACAAACGTAATGCACATAAACTCATACAGACACAACATACACATAATAAAAATAATCTATTTTTAAGGTTTAATTTTTGAAGGTTTTGTCTTTCCAAGGATGGATAGTTTTAAATAAAGGTTAAGCTGGTGGAAGTAAAATTTCATGCCTTTCTAAAATATGCATCGACCGAAGCAAAACTTAATGCCAGTCATTTATTACAATATTGTGACTTACATTCTTAGATTACAAATTATTTAAGATAATGATTTCTTTAAAGATTTCAGCAGAACATGGTGAGGCATACTTATAATCTTAGTATAGGTAAGAGAATCACTGCAAGCTCAAGGTCTGCATACTTGTGTGGTCTTTGTAGTGAGTTCCAGGCTAGCCAGGACTACATAGGTATGGCCCTGCCTCAAAATAAAAACGAGTTTTTTTAAAAAAGAAAAACAACCCTTCTTATTTTATATGTATGAGTGTATTGCCTGCATGTGTGTAAGTGCACCTGTGTCATGCAGTGCCTTCAGAGGTCAGAAGAGGGAGTTGGATCCCCTAGAACTGGAGTTGCAGACAGGTGTTAGTCACCATGTAGGTGCTGGGAATCGAGCACGGGTCCTCTGCAAGAGCAGTCAGCGCTCTTAAGCGCTGAGCCATCTCTCCAGCCCCTAATACTTGTTTTTGTAAAGAGCCTGACTTGTTATAAAATATCTTACATACATATATACACACACCATATTGTTCATCCAGTTGACAGACGTGTGGATTGATTCTGTCTTTGTCTCTGACCTTACAGTAAGCATGGGGTGTGGGTGTTTCTTTGACATTGATTTTAATTTGAATGTGATGTGGAGCTTGGTCTGTGTGGAGCTCAGCCTGTTGGGTATGGCACATGGTAAATACTTGGGACTCTTCTAGGATTGGACTAAACTAACTCTCGTACAGGCAGGGAAGAATCAACAGGTTTATCAAGTGGCTCGAGGCCCTTACCCTGTTTAAGGGTATAAGCCATTAATTACTAGAAGGCATCCCTTTTGCAAGGCATCCCTTTGCTGCTGTACCTGTAAATAATCCCTCACACATGCACCTTTAAATAACTAAAATAATTTGTTCACCAAGCTGGGTGGAATCATTTCTTTGCTCTGTAGTGTATGCTCTATCTGGGGTGAATGCATGCTTATACCTCCCCAGGAAAAGTTACCTCAGTATGCCCAGTAGCGAAATTGCTGAATTTAGTCTTTTGAGAAACTTTGATACTGTTTTCTATTATGACTGTATTGATACACATTTCTGCTATCATTATTATTTCTTTTCCATAATAGCCATTTTATTGATTAGGATGAGATGGGGGTGTTTTTTGTTTTGCTTTTCCTTTGAGACAGGGTTTCCTGTAGCGCTGTAAACTGTGTAGCAGAAAATGACCTTGTACTTCTGAACCTTTCCAAGTGCAGAATTAGAAGTGCACTCTGCCACAACCAGTTGATACAGTGCTGGCAGTCTATCCCAGGGCTTCATTCCTACTAAGCATATACTACCAGCATCCCCAGCACTGTGGTTTTCATTTTTATTACACTGCTGACTAGTGATGTTGAAACTTTTTTCATATACTTGGTGGCCATTTATATCTCTTCTGTTGAGAAATAGCTTTCAGATCATTTGCCCTTATTTTGAAGTCAGATTATTTGGGTCTTTTGCTGTTGAGCTATTTGAGTTTGTTACATATCTCTGTAATTTGTTGATGAATAGATACAGATATTTTCCTCCATTCTGTAGATTGCCTTTTTACTTGATTGATTGCTTTACAGCTTTTTATTTTGGTTTGGTTCCATTGCTTAAATTTACTTTCGTTCTCTTGCCTTTTGGAGTCCTAGCTAGAAAATCTATGGCCAGACCAATTCTCTGAAATATTCCCTCCATTTAAATTTTTTTCAATTTAGTTTTATTTCTATTTTTTATGTGTATGAGTGTTTTACCTGCATGTATATATGTGCACCTGTGTGCTCGATGAGACCAGAAAAAGGTGTTGGATGCCCTGGAATTGGTGCTATGGAGAGTTGTTAGCCGACACAGGGGCTGGGAACCAAAAACCTGGGTCTTCTGCAGCCCCACATTTAAATTTTCAATCCATTGAGTTGTATATGAGCAGGATCTAGAAAGCCCAGGTTTTCTAGCACTATTGAAGATCCTATCCATTCTCCAGTGGTGTTTGCTGTTGGTGTCTTTGTCACTAATCGACTGTCTGTAAATATGTAGATTTATTTCTAGTTTTCTGTTCTATTACGTGGGTCTATGCTGAATCTGTCGTTTTATGTAAGGCAGTGATTTTCAGACCACTTTCAAGTCAATCGGGGAGTGGCATGTTCTCTCTTAACTTACTTTTTTCTGGCAAGAATAGCTCTTGTATCTGGAATGTGGTGGTGGCATAGCACTTGGGATGTGGATGTGGGAATTACAAAGCCAGCCTCTGCTACATAGCAAGTTTGAGGCCCTCTGGGGCTATTAAGACCCTGCCTCCAAAACAGAAACAAATATGAAATGATCTTTGGATGAACTACTTTTTTTTTTTTTTTAACATTTTTGGGTATTTTATGTGTGTTTTGCTTGAATGTATGTGTGTATACCTCATGTGTGCATGGTTCTTGCAGAGGCCAGAAAAGAATGTCAGATCCCCTGGACTGGAGTTAAGGATGGGTATTAGCCACCATGTAGCTGGGAACCAAACCAGGGCCCTTCTGTAAGAGCAGCGAGTGCTCTTAACCACTGAACCATCTCTCCAGCCTCTGCTGAATCACTCATGATGAGGGGGAGCATTGTATTCTTGTATCAAGCATTGGTCTTACTGGCATGAATGATTTATTGATGTTTTAATACAAGTAAATGGAATTAGATGGTTTTACACTTGGGATAATATATATTTATATGAAACGAGTAATTTTGTGAGGTAAATGAAATGGGAATTAATGGTAACACCACAAAACGTGAGTCTGTTCTTTACTAAAGTTGTGGGATCATTTTGCAGAGTGATCCCACATAGATTTCTAATTGTTTATCAGAAGGAAATGATGTAGTAATAGGATATTGGAAAGAAAAATCCTTTGCTTTGGACCCAGGAGTAAAATTGGATAATTCTTCTAAAGATGATGATGATGATGATGATGATATTGATGACATCTGTGCAGTCTATTCTTACTTAAAATATTCTCAGTTTCTCCCCTACTTTAATTTTGCATTTGAAGGATAAATTTAAGAAGCACATTACTTAATTTTCAGAATTTATTTGACCCTTGGCAGCATAAGATAGGTATCATGGCGTGACATTGATAAACAACTAGGAAAATTTTTTTTAAGAGCATAAGCTTTCTTTTCTGTAAGCTGACTGACTTATATCAAGATTCATTGTAAAATTTCTCCAGGAAATATTTTTTTTTGTAATGTGTATGAATGTATTGCCTGCATGTATGTGAGTGTGTCCATGGAGGTCAGAAGGGAGCATCAGATTCCCTTGGAACTGGGCGGGTAGCTGTCATGTGGGTGCTGGGGGTCCTTTGCAAGAGCCTCTAGTGCTCTTAACCACTGAGCCATCTCTGTAGTTCCATGACATTTTAAAATAAGAGTTTTTCCAATAATAAAGAACAACATCAAGGGGAATATTTACACACTGATGCTAAATAAATCACTTGCTATCTTTGTAAAGAAATGGAACTCCCAAAATAGCAAATGATTTCTTTGGTGACAATTGAGTTTGAAATTAGACTAAGGTAATGGATTCCTAGTCTTCTGCTTTGTTTATGCAGAAAGAGGAAAGGCTAATTAAAGTAGTTATAACCTGAGAATTACAGTGGGAAATAACTAATTTTGTATTAAATATTGAAACCAGTGTGTTTTATGGACAGCTGCAATACTGGTGAAATTTCAGTCTCCTATCCATATACAGAGGTTGGTTGAAAAGTTGAAGTCGCACAGAACTTCAGATTTGTAGAAATTTGGCTTTTTTACTCTGCCTTAAGGGCTAGTTGCAGAACTGAAAGAGCAATAGGTGACATCTCCTTTATCTATGCTATATAAGCCACGTATTGGGAAATATGGAAAATAAAGATGTAAGGCTATTGAGATGGATTAGCCAGTGAAGTGCCTGCTGCTCAAGTATGAGGATTGGCCTGAGTTTGGGTTCCCAGAACCCTTAGGGAAAGACAAGCAGGGGTTAACACCATTAGGGGCGGAGGGCAGATTCCTGGATCTCATTCGCAGCCATCCTGGCCAGTTGGTAACTTTGGGTTCAGTGGAGACCCTGTCTCCCAGAAAAAGGAAAAAGAGTAATTAAAAACATCCAAAGATTGACTTGGTATGCATTTGCATACACAATATGTATAACTCACCCACACCTATGTGCACCACATACACAGTATTTTAAGGTCAGTGATATTAATGCATAAGAGGGTATGGTTTGGCCCTGAGAGAAAAAACTTATGACAAAACCTGAGGACCTGAGTTTGACTTGATTTGAGACCCCCACAGTGGAAGGAGAGAACCAACTCCCTTGGGTTGTCTTCTAGCCTCCATATGTGTTACACATAGGTAAATATTACAGAAAAGGGTACAGTACAAAGTGTGGTTTCAAAGAAATATAAATTGTGTTCTTTGATAATCTGTATTCAGTTGCTACCATGTTGTATATTATTAGTCATTGCATTACACAGAAAATGGTGATAGAACTACCTTGGTATTTTTTCTAAAAAACACAGCCAGGATTAATTTCCTTGTAATAAATTGAAATTTTTCTCTGTAAGTTAGTAACAGCCATCTATCAGACATAAAATTTAAAAACTTTTCACAGGGAGAATGAAGTTGAAGAGGTTAAGGAAGAGGGTCCAAAAGAGATGACTTTGGATGAATGGAAGGCTATTCAAAATAAAGACCGAGCAAAAGTAGAATTTAATATCCGAAAACCAAATGAAGGTGCTGATGGACAATGGAAGAAAGGATTTGTTCTTCATAAATCAAAAAGTGAAGAGGTAAAATTTGTGTTTGAATTTTCAAATATGACTTGAATCATATTTGTAATTTTTGCTTTAAATTATGGATAATTTTTAAAAATAAAGCTTTATGTAGGATTATTTGGGGCTGAAAACTTGGAAAGAAAAATAAACTACATTTCCACATAATACAAGAAATTTAGTACTGTGATCGGTGTATAATAATTATGTGATCATATATTATATAAAATGTAGTGTAATAATAATTATTTTGGTTGACACTGAGTCTCCCTATGGCCTCAGCTGGCCTGGAACTTAGATAAACCATAGGAATCTACCTGCCTCTGCCCTCTTGAGTGCTGGAATTAAAAGGGTACACCATCTCACCTGACTTGATGTATAATTACTTTTTTTATACAGTTCTTTTTTCCAAAAAGCTGTTAGTAGCATATCCTATGATTAGGAATACAAATCCTGTTAATAAATGTCTAGTCATAGGAAAAACACATTTTCATCAGAATGTTTGCTTTTCTTTTTCTCATCCCAATTCTTGGAGATCAAATTGTTAGGTTGTATGAGTAGAACAATATAGGTGGTGTTCCTGACTTCAAAAATAAGAACCTTCATTTATAAATTTTCATTTAACTATTAAACCTCCTAGGTAAATGTGAAAAAGATTTACCGAGGCCCTAGACTTTCCCATGAAATTCTAATTGTAGTGATAGGCAATTCATTAATACCCTGAAGTCTGTCTCTCTCCATATATGTGTGTGTGTGTGTGTGTGTGTGTATAAAAGTTCACTGTAAAGTATTTCAAATTGGGATATTTACCTTTATTTATATATGTATCCCAATTTGAAATACTTTACACTGAATTTTTCAGAAAACTATAGTAGTAGCCTTCTTTTTCAGTTAACCTGCAGTTAACAAAGGTCCAGAAACACTAAATAGGAAATTGCAGAAATATGTAATCCATAATTTTAGATTGTAGTCCACTCTAAATAGTGTTGTGCACGTTTAGCATTATCCTGTACTGTCTCCCACTCAGGATGTGGGTCATCCTTTTTACAGATGGAGTCATACTGTCTGCTACTTGCCCATTAGTCACTTAGTAGCCCACAATAGGGAAAAAGCATAGTGGATATGTAGTGCTTGATACTATCTGTGGTTTATCTGCTGCAGATAATGGAGACTATTGCCTTATTATAGAAGAGGTAGGTATATGATTAGAAACTTAGAAATTATAAAATGTAAAATTGGTTGAAAAATTTTGAGACCTAGAACATTTTTTTTGATTCCCCCTTTTATAATTTTTATTTTATGTGTTTGGGTGTATTGCCTGCATGTGTGTACGTGTACCCATGTCATGCAGTGCCCGAGGAGGTCAGAAGAGGGCGTCAGATCCCCTGACAGTTGTTAGCTGCCATGTGGGTGCTGGGATTTGAACCTGGGTCTTCTGCAAGAGCCGCTAGTGCTCTTTCTTAACCACAGAGTCATCTCTTGCCCAAAAAATCTGGAACATTTTGTATTTGTGGAGTCACTTATGTTTGAGCTTATGCATCTAATGTTATTGTGTCTTTTTTTTAAATATGGGCTTGATTGGTATATATGGCTATAGGTAGAACGTTTTAAGTCACTAATGTGCTATACTGTGAGAGATAATGAGGTGGTTATAAGCAAGAAATGTCATTTTTAGAAGTGGTAAACTGAATTACTGTGTTGACAGGGGGTGGTCAGAGTGGGTACTTCTCATTCTAGGATGTTTTTTGTTTGTTTGCTTTCCTCACATTCTGGAAGTCAGGAATGTGTCCTGAACATCAGAACTTTGTAGTAAAAACCCTCTAGGTTTAAGTGGTGCCTCTGCTCTAGAAAGTTAATGAGTAGTGGATATCAGTGGTTAGAAATAGCAAACATTTAAATGCAGGAAAAGCAGAGAGGATATAGAAATTATTTTTATTTACTTGTGGATTTGTTTTGTTTTTGTTTTGTTTTGAGATAGGGTCTCCCTGTAGCTCTAGCTTGCCTATAGACCAGGTTGGCCTTGGAGATATGCCTGCCTCTGCCTCTTGATTGCTGGGATTAAAGGTGTGTGCCACCGTGCCCGGCTTTAGGTATCTTAATATTTAAAGAGCCGTTAATTGCTTTTAAATTGAGTTGTCATAACACAAGGGGATGACATTTAATTTTAGGCTAGCAGAATGTGTGACCAAAACAAAACATTTAAAGAAGTCAGGCATTACACAGTATAAAACTTTTTTTTTTTTGTCTTTTTTTTGTTACATTTAAGATGGGGGTTTTCACAAGATCTTGTGTAAAGTTTCTAATGTTTGACTTGAGGTTGGAGTAGTTTATGTGGAAGAAAAATGCAGGTTGAGTAGCCTTTGTCTGAAATGCCTGAGACCCAGAAGTTTCAGATTTTTGAATATTTGTACAGAATATCTCTAATTTGAAAATTATGTGGTGCTCAGAAAGTTTAGTATTTGAGATAGGAATGCTCAGCCTATAGTTGCAATTTCCTATCTATACATGGGACCCCAGATGGGCGATCCTAGTTTTGGAAGAGTATAGATAAGAAGTTCAGCTTGATCACTAGAATACCTTATGTGTATTCTATCCAAAGGTCTTTTATTAGGTATTCACATTGAAACCCTAATCCGAAGGGTGTATTTGAACTGTCCTTACACAGATTTCACAGCTGAAGATTATCATTTAGGTCTAGACTGGGGATGGCCACTTGGATTGTGTGGCTTTAATCAAAGACTACTGGCATCTTTGCCAGTATGATTCAGAGAAATTAGAGATAAAGCACAGTGACAGGAATTCTTTTCCAAGGTCAGTGCAGCCAAGCCCCAAACTAACTTAATACCTGAACAGCTAGATCATTCACACAAAGCATAGGTTGGGTAGTTGGTGTTTGGAAATTTTTGCAGTATTTTTTTCTGTTAATTATTCAGTGACTTTTAACATTCTAGGCTCATGCTGAAGATTCAGTTATGGACCATCATTTCCGGAAGCCAGCAAATGATATAACGTCTCAACTGGAGATCAATTTTGGAGACTTAGGCCGCCCAGGACGTGGTGGCAGGGGAGGACGTGGTGGACGTGGGCGTGGTGGACGCCCAAACCGTGGCAGCAGGACTGATAAGGTAGTGTTAAGATTTCATTTTCCCTTTTAAGCAATTTAGGGCTTCTAATAAGTTACTGATTCCTTTGGAAGTGATAAAATGTAGGAAATGAGTTGCTTTCAAAAAACATTTTAAGTTACATTTTTGTTTAAAGCACCTTAAAAATTTGAGAAGTGGCATATAACGGGACCTGTGTATGATCCCTAGCGTGTCAAAAAATTGAAGTAGTTGGAGAAATTGAGGGTGGGACTTTTGCAAGTATTTGTGCTTTGATTCTTATTCATGATTGTATTTTTAAATAAAAAACTTTATTACATTTACATAGTATTTTAACTTGAAGGATTTTTTAGAGTTCAGTGTCTAAAATGTAGACATTAGCAATATATTTCAGGATTTGAGAATTGTGGTTAATTTTGGTTTGTCTTTTTTTTCCAGTCAAGTGCTTCTGCTCCTGATGTAGATGACCCAGAGGCATTCCCAGCTCTGGCCTAACTGGATGCCACAATACAACCCTGGTTCCTTTGTGGACCCTCCTGTTCAAAGCTTTTGCATGCTTAAGGATCCCAAACGACTAAGAAATTAAAAAAAGAAAAAAAGACTGTCATTCATACCATTCACACCTAAAGACTGAATTTTATCTGTTTTGAAAATGAACTTCTCTCGCTACACAGAAGTAACAAATATGTTAGTCAGTTTTGTATTTAGAAATGTATTGGTAGCAGGGATGTTTTCATAATTTTCAGAGATTATGCATTCTTCATGAATACTTTTGTATTGCTGCTTGCAAATATGCATTTCCAAACTTGAAATATAGGTGTGAACAGTGTGTACCAGTTTAAAGCTTTTACTTCATTTGTTTTTTTTAATTAAGGGTTTAGGTGTTTCCTCAATTACAAACTGATTTTAAATATTGAACATAATACTGGTTTTAATACCTGCTTTGCATTTTCACACACAGTCAACTGGGACATGTAAACTTTAAATTTATCACATTTTATTCTGCGTGGAATACTAACTACTTTATGTATTTTAACTTAATATTTTGATTTGGGGGGAAAGATCTTTTCTCATGATAGCTGATATATGCTAAATCTTTATACAGAAATATCAGTACTTGAACAAATTCAAACACATTGGTTTATTAACCTTGGCTCATGCATGGCTCATTAGGTTCAGATTATACTTGATTCATAGTTTCCATTATATTTACTTTTAAAATGTGTGGCTTTCCCATTTTAAAAGCAAAACTACACACCATTTTGGTGGAACTTGTATAAGCTATTTATTGTTGATAGACACAGACTGTCAAGTGAAATAGTTTTGTGGGTGTGAGTTTTTTCTTCCCTTCCCTCCAACAAGGTGAGTGGAATAAGTTGGTTTGATTGATTGCTAATAGTTGAACTATAAAGTAGGTGTCTGGCCAATTGGGATGATTTGTGTGTGAAAGGAGCCCATATAAAAATGGTATATCCATCATAAGTACTCCTTAATCATGGTTTTGGAAAAACCAAATGGCACTGGTTAGTATGCTGAGATGGGCAAGTATCTCTTAATTTTTGGAGTTTCAAAAGTAGCTTTAATTTTAGGTTGGAGGAGCAGCACCATCCATAAAACAAACCAAATACCTTATACTTTATGATTTTCCTGTGCACTGTTATTATTTGGTCCAGAGTTGATGGAGGACTGTTGCACAGAAAGTGTTGGCTGTCGTTTCCCATTTCCTGCATTAGAAATTAGATATTGACGGATTCCTTGACTGGGAGCACCACCACTTATTCAAAAATACATGCATAGAATGATCAATAAACAGGTTTTTGAGGATTTTTTTTTTCCTGCCACATTTATTGATTAAACAGGGAAAGAATTTTATTTAAAACTTTGAGGATGTTTTGTCAGTTGTCAGTAATTTCTTACCATGGTTGTAATGTCTAGCTTTTTAATACACTGGTGATCATAAATCTTAGATTTGTTACAGAGATGATTGATTTTCATGTAAGGTGTAGGGGTCTATTCATTTACTTAGACTTACTACTTTAGTAGTAAGTCTGAAATATTGGAAAGGAGGTAATGTGTTTTAATGATGGATAAACTAGTGCAGGTGTTGTGGATCTTATGGTGCTGAACATGGTCTGCACTAGTGCTAATGTCTGATGTATGCAAACACCTATCTAGAGGCAAGTATTAATTTATTCCATGGGGACAGTTGATCGCTTTCGAGATTGCAGCGTATGCATTCTTAAATCAGTGAGTTTAAATTCTTAATTATCTAACCCATTTCTGAAGAGTAACGTGTATAAAACTTCTTGGTTTACAGCAACATGCTGGGGAAGTGCCTGCTATAAAATATACAGGTTCTACCTACTGTCAGCCATCGTCACTAGAAAACATGTAACTTTCAAGTAGCCTGAATTTGAGAGTTGGTCCATTAGTTCTATCTGACGAATGTGAATTTGCCTCCAGGTTCACTTTGTGTAAAGACCTAAAACTGAACTTTACCTTTATTGATGAATAATACCTGAAACTGTTTTCATGCATACTTAAAAGGTATAAGAAGGCCCGGTGTGGTGGTACACGCCTTTAGTCCCAGCACTTGGGAGGCAGAGGCAGGTGGATCTCTGTGAGTTCAAGGCAAGCCTGGTCTACATAGTTACAGGACAGCTGGGGCTACAGGGAGACCCTGCCTCAAAAAGACCAAAAAAAAAAACCAAAAAATGAAAGATATAAAAACCACAGAAACCCCCTTATGCATTGGCTTCCCTGTTAAGATATTATGTGCAGTTTGGGGAAGGAATACCTATACTAGTGATAAAATTTGGGAAGTTAGTGAAATAATTTCCCAGAGCTGATAGAATAGTTGGCTTCATGTATGATAGGCAAACACTCTGATATCAGAATTGAGGTATTTTGGACATCTCCAGCTTGCTTTGAAATGAGGGTATAGCTTCTTAGCTGAATACTGTTGGAGGCATTGAAAGATTTAAATGTACCATGAAGTACTTCAGTTCTTTTTACTCAGTTCAAGACATTGCCAGACTTGTGAATGTATTTGGGGCTTATTTTGGTTTGGGTTTGGAGAGAATACTGAGTATCCTGATATTTTTGTAATTGCTAGAGATGATATTGCTGAAATAGAAAAATGTTATACAGAGTTTGCATATGAAATCTAAGTGTTATGTGTTAAATTAAAAATGTCTTTTAAGAACAATTAGCAGGTGGAAGAAACCAACTATTAAAAATTAGAAATCTGAAGCTGCTAGAACCTTATTGGTGACTTTAAAGGTAAGATGATGCCAGGTACAGTAGTGGGCATGTGGCCCACCACAGCGCTAGCTGGTGCAGTATATATCTACAGTGCATTCCTTCCCCTGCCTCGTTCTGTGTATCCTTCCAGGGCCTTATACTTGCTGGACCAAGGACGCCAAGCTGTATCTGTAGCTCTGCACTAAAGTAAAAGCTTAGAAAATATATTCTAACCCAAACCTTTGTAACTCTACTGAGATTAATATGTGAATGTTAAGCAGTTCTGAATGTTATATCTCCATATTAACTAAAAGCCCAGAAACCAGAGTACTAATATGCCTTGAAAGGGATGTCTAGTAACAGGGAGTAAAGTTATATGTGATTGAACTTGGAGACCTTAGTACTCTCATTAGCATAAGCAGTGAATCACCAGGAGTTTTTGTTAGGTTGTTTTACAGTGCTAAACATTTGTGTGTGGTGGGCAAGTGTTCTGCCACTACTATACCCCCAACCTTGATTGCCAGTTTAGTTGAGATAAATAAGTAGCTACATTCAGAAATGTAAGTTTTTGTTATGTTCTGGCATTGCCTTTTACCTTGGGTATGTTTGTTTTAACTTGAGATCTTGAGTTCCCCAGATTTTTTAAATGATTGAAATAAGCCTTTGAGGAATCCATGAATGTAGGGAAAACAAAAGTACATGAGAATCTTGATTTGCGTGTGTGTGTTGGTGTGTGTGCCAGGTCTACATGTGTAAGCAATGCCTGTGTGGGTCAGTGGACAATATGGGCAGGTGTTGCTTCAGGTGTGGTCTAATTTTCTTTGAAATTGTATCTCACTGGCCTGGAACTTGTCAAATAGTCTAGGTTGGCAGGTCAGCATCCCCCAGGATCTGCCTGTTTCCACCTCCCTAGCACTGGGATTACATGTGCATGCTGTCATGCTTGGCCTTTTAAACAAATTTTAAATTCATGTGGGTTCTGAGGATTAAAATCAGACCCTCATGTTTATAGGTTGAACTATCTCCATAGCTTAAAAAGCTGAATTACTAAAAGTGCTTGGTGTAAGAAAAACAAAAATTTGGGTCCCTAACCAATGTACTAACTGAAAATGAATGTTATTTAAATAGAGTGCTCTGTGTGTTGCCCCTACAGTACTCAGATCTGAGGTGTTACTCCAAGCCAAAATGTAAGGAAGGGCTCCTTTAAAATAAAAGTTAACGTCTGTATATGCATTGAATCATACTACTAGAATGTTGTGAAGTAGGTTTTTTTTTTTTTTTTTGGTGGCTTTTTGAGACCGTATCCTGCAGCCTTAGCTGACCTGGAACTGACTATATAGACCAGGCTGGCCTCCAACTCACCTGCCTCTGCCTCCCAAGTGGTGGGACTACGGGCATGTGCCCAACATGAAATGTTTTAAACACTTATTTAATAAAGAAGGGGCAAGGTATGTGATGACACTTCATTTGGTCCTTGTCAAAAAATGGAGAAGTGATAGCTGGTAGGTAAGTTGTTTTTAGGCAGGGTATGTAGCCATCACTGGCTGGAACACAGTTTGTGGACCAGGTTGGCACAGACATTTGAGTGCTGGGATTAAAGGCAACTGCCACCACCTGCATGGCTTTTAAAAAAATTTTTTAAAGTTGGGGGTGGGGGGAGTCTATGCAGGTGCCCACAGAGGTCAGAAGAGGGTATCATCCCCTGGAGCTGGAGTTACAGGCTATTGTGAGCCACCCACCTGCTGAGAACCTAATCACTGAGCTATTATGTCCAGCCTTTGTTTCTAGTTTTTAAGCGAGACTGAAGTTTACTTACAAGAAACTTGATTGTTTGCTTGTCACTTTGCCTGTAGCTGATTGATTTCTAGAATGTATTAAAAATACCTGTAATTTGAAGAAATTCATTCTCATATATATGGAAGACTGTAAAGTCCAGTTAACTTGAGTTTGATATTTGACAAGAATTTTGTCAGAAGGGGTCTAAATGTTCTATTAGCCAGTAAGTAGTGTGAGACAATTTTTCCTGTTTTGGAGAGAGAATACAGAATTCTATTCTTGGAATCCACAAAGAAACATGACTAGGTTTGGCAGCTAGCTTCCCTGACAATACTTAGATTCAGGCAAACACATTCAGGCTGTTTGCTGAAGTACTTCGTTGATACTCTTGAAATGAATTCAGTAGCTATGTTCAAGATGTGTGAGTTTTCTTTCTCCTTATTACATCAGTGAACATAAGTCTTCATGATAGGTGAAGTGAAATGTATCTTTAGAGATAGGCATTTGGGTAGGTTTTTTTTTTTTAATTTTACTTTGTGTATATGAACATTATGACTTACTGTGTAAATACATGCATGTCATGCTGTGCCCACAAAGGACAGATGAGGATGTTGAATCCCCTGGAACTGGATTGTTAGCTGCCACGTGTATGCTGGGATTCAAACCAGGTCTTCTACAAGAATAGCCAATGCTCTTAACCGCTGAACCATCTCTCCAGCACTATTTTATTTTTTTGAGTGTCTTGCCTACATGTATGTAAGTGCACTGTGTCATGCAATGCTTGTGGCCAGAAGATGGGATGTTGGAGTCTCTTGAACTGAAGTACAGATGGTTCCCATGTGGGTACTGGGAACCGAACCTGGGTCCTCTGTAAGAGCAGCCAATGCTTCTAACTAACCAGTGACCCATTTCTCCAGGGTTTTGTTTCCTTGAGACAGGGTCTTGCTATGTACTTGTCCAAACTGGTCTGAAACTGGGGACTGAGGGTTATTAAGTGTATACTACTATGCCTGGCAGCTGTTGCCATATTTTTCTTGAAATTAAGAATTTCTAGCTTCATCTTCATTTCATATGCCTTCCTTAGATACTAATACGTACTTAAGGGGAGATGTGGGTTATTACTAGGTTAAGCTCTTTGGGGCAATCAATTCATTTCCTGTAGTCACAGGGTGGGGTGGTGAATCAATTTTAGCAGTTGTAGATCTGCTCCCCAAAAAGGCTTTCTTCCCCCACTTTCTTTTAAACACTATTCAGAGTGGTGTTTTATCTGTGTCCTATCTGTACCTTGTGGGATTTAGATAAGTTGAGTATATTCCTCACTTTTTACATTGCTGTAGCAAAATATCTGACAAAGGCAGCAGAAGGAAGGATGGAAGGTTTTATAATTTAAGAAAGGATACAGTCTGTTGGTAAGGAAGGTTTGGTGGTAGTGTGAGGTGACTAGTCATTGCATCTGTAGTCAGAAAGCAGAATCTTGAAGTTAGTGGTCAACTCGATTTCTTTTATTCAAAGGCCTCATGACTTAAGCACCATCATGCCCCACCCCTTTCCCCAATCTGGCTGTGTTTTACCTTTTCAACCTTTTAATGAGAGTACTAAGGGTCAGTAAATGTCAAGTAAAAGAACAAAGATACAGGCTGCCACAGAAAGCAGGAGTGTTTGTTGCCTCTCCTAGTCAGTTTTTGTTTGGAAACAGGTACTATGTAGCGTACAGGTTCTCACTATGTAGCTGTGGCTGGTCTGGAACTTGTTGAGATCTGCCTACTGCTGCCTCCTGAATGCTGTGATTAAAGGCTTGCATCATTCCCAGTCTTTGAAGAGAAATCAATTAGCATTATTTTATGCTTTAAGAATAATGTGTATTAACAAAATATAATTGAGCAAATTTATGGCTAGAAATAACCAATTAGTATTTTAGTGTATATTCCTTCAAAACTTTTACATCATTCTCAAAAGTGATTCTTTTCAGCCATTTATAATTGGCCATTTCCTTGTCAGATAGTGTTAGTTTTCTCTTTGTGGTGCTGATAGTCGAATGCAGGGCTTTGCACACAAAGCAGTCAATATTGTGCTTCTTAAAATTATTATGTGTATAGGTGTATTGCCTGCATGTATGTGCACCTGTGTTGTGCAGTGGCCCTAGAGGTCATTGTTAGCTGCCATGTAGGTGCTGGGATTCAAACCTGGGTCCTCTGTAAGAGCAATCAGTGCTCTTAACTGCTGAGCCATCTCTCCATTAGACTTTTTTTAATTTATATTTTTTACGTGTATACGTGTATTGCCTGCATGTAGGTAAGTGCACCTGGGGAAGACAGAAGAGGCTGTCGGATCCCCTGGACTGGAGTAAAGGACAGCTGCCATGTGGGTGCTGGGATTCAAACCTGGGTCTTTTTGCAGGAACAGTCAGTGTTAACTGCTGAGCCATCACTCCAGCCCCTCCATTACACTTTTTAAAAGAAAGTGGCATTGTATGCTTTTTTACAGTCCTAAGGAAGCCCTGGTTCTAATTCCAAGTATATTGAAATGTGAAATGGTTATAGAGCTTCACTACCATTGGAAACCAAGGCACAGTACAATTTAATTCGCAATTTAATTTTTTAAATTTAAAATTAAATCACTGTTTTGCCTGTATGTATGTAGGTGCACCAAGTGTGTGCAGAGCCCACAGAGACCAGAGGAGGACACTGGATTCCCTTGGAACTGGAGTTATGGATGGTTGTTAGCTGCCATGTGGGTGCTGTGAACCAAATCCAGGACCTCTGCAAGAGCAGCCAATGTTTTTAACTGCTGAACCATCTCTCCAGCCCTCTTTAGAATTTAAAACAGTATGGTATTTTCCTTGTGCAGATAATCATTGTTTCACTGGGTCTTTTTTTATTAAGAGACAGTCATTTTGATCTGTTGAAGAGTCCTGTGTTTGAGGATATTGTACTGTTTCTTAGGCTGTATTGATAGGAATAGAGTTGCCTGTTTTTACTGAATATTGTCCGGCAGCTCTTCAAAATTGGGACAGCAGAATGCCAGTTTCCCTCTCAAATATTGGGATTAATACTGGCTAAGGTTTTCTGGAGTCTTTGCTGATAAAGTGAGAAGTATTTACACTTAAATAATACTTCATACTTACTGGGCTTTAGTATGTACTATGTAAGCCTGTTTAAATTTGCCTTTTAAAATTTTTGTTCAGGAATTTACATTTTGTGTTGTGTAAGATTTTAATCTTGAAAATTTGTTAAGAGCTAACCTGCTTCTTTTCATCACTCAGCCAATCGATTGGAAACCTACCCCACCCAAGTTCTTGAACATAGTAGGCAAATACTTTTATTTTACCACTGAGCTTTATCCCCTAGTCAGAACTGTTAATCTTTTAGGGAAGGGGGAACTTTCTAATCTCTTAAGAGAAAGTACTTTCTCTACCCAGCAAATTCCACCTTCCCAAGTAAAGCTTTTCATAAAGAAGCTTAAGGTGAACATCGATGAGTTCTGTAAGCTGGAAGGAAAGTAAAGTAAGGCGGGGAGGGGACTTCATCTTTGATACTGGGAAAGGAGACAGCTGCATCTGTTGACTCGAACAGACTGGTGAGAAGGAACAAGACTGGAATACAGTGAGTTGACTAGGTGGCATTTCTTTCTCAGGCTCCAGGGCATTGGTCAGTTGTGGTTGTAGGCTATAGGGAAAAGGGTAGGGTTGAGGAGAAAAAAGATTGTCTAAGATTGCCTGCAAGGTAGAATTGGTAAAGAGTGTTACTTCTGACAAAAGATTGCCTTATTCAGGCATAGTTTGTAGTGTGGATTCCTACATAAACTTTAATGGCTCAGTGGGGAGTTTGTCTAATGTGTGCCCTACCCTGGGTTGCATCCCCATACTCTCAAAAAAAAAAAAAGATTCATATGGATGATTTAGTATTCTACATGACTGTATGTAGACCCCAGAGGATTATGGAATTTTATGTATTTTAGTAAAACATACTGGGCTGGCTTAATGATTTAAGGATTTAAAAGTAACTTCATGAGGCCTTGCAGTCTCATTTGGAGTTTTAACTGGGGGTGGAATGGTGGGAAAAGGTCACTGTTTTTCTGACATTCATTGAAAGGGAACTAGCAGGTCGTGTGAGGTACTAAAGACATGCTTTGTGCCTTGATACTAAGAAAAGCCCCAACCTGTATCACATGTGACTGTCATTGAAGCATGTGGCAGAATAGGGGTTGGGAGTGGGGAGGAATGAACTAGAAACAAGTAAGCTGAACTGACTGGCTTCCAAGACAGGAAAACATGGCAAAGGACATGACCAGGCATGATACTGGGGAGATATTACCAAGTTTGCACGTCCAGTAGAGGAGTGAAGTAACGAGAGAATCCTGTTAGGGAAGGCATGGAAGTGGCTAGTGCAGGAAGCAGTAAAGTTTGCTCCATTGCCAATAGATAACAGGTTGGCCTGCTTCTGAGGAGGTAACTTTGTCATGGCCCAAGGCAGTTATCTAAGAGCCTTTCGCATTAGTGCAGACAAGTGAAAGCTGATGATGAGATGGAAGGAACCATGGTGTGGGGCTACTGCATAGTAGTAGCTAAGTGGGGTAGAATAGAGATGAACGAGCTTAATACTTAAAGCCCAAACTGGCTGTAGTTTGGAAGCAAGGATGTTTAATTATGAACAAACGGCAAGTAACTTGGATTTCTAGATCTGTGAAGGAGGTTTGGTTAAACCAAAGGCTGAGTTTACAGGACTGGGCTATATGGACACATTTCTAGTTTGGTAGATTAGAAAAAAAAAAATACAGATTTGCAAGATGCTAAATGGAAATCCAAAGTAGAGTGGAGAGCATTAGTTCCCTGTTATCGTAGAGGATGTGGGTGGGAGTAGGTTCATATTGATATGTTAGGCCTTTCATCCTGATCTTTAGGGGAGGAATATTAGTTTTGACCATGACCCAGGCAGTGGCTCAGAAGAGAGTGACATGCCAGAAGCATAACTATGAAGGAATAAAACAGCATGTTCTAAGTTCAGGCCATGAAAAAGGCTCAATCTGGGCTGTCTGAAGGCTAGCTCAGTCTAGGGATGAAAAGCATCTTCAGAGAAGGAAACAGCATGTAACCTTGAAGATTAAAAGGCTTTTTCTTTTTAATGCTATTTTTATGTGTATGAGTGTATTGCCTGCATGTATGTAAGTGTACTCATGTTGCGTAATGCCCATGGAGGTCAGAAGAGGACGTTGGATCCTCTGGAACTTGAGTTACAGACATTTGTTAGCCGCCATGTGGGTGCTGGGAATCAAATCCGGGTCCTCTGCAAAGAGCAAGTGCTTTTGACTGCTGAGCCACCTCTCCAGTCCCTCGAGGTTTTCTTTTTAATGTGTATGAGTTTTTTTCTGTGTGTATGTAAGTGCATCTGTGCGTGCAGTGCCTGCAGAGGTCAGGAGATGATGTTGGATCCCCTGGAATTGGGGTCATGGACTGTTAGCTGCCAAGTAGGTGCTAAGAACCAACTCCAATCCTCTGCAAGCGCTCATAACTGCTAAGTCAGCTCTCCAGACCGAGATTGAAATTTTTGAGAAGGTAAAGCACCTGCTGTAGCAGAGCCCTTTCAGAGAGGTCCAGACAGACTGGCTTGCCCAAGGGCCTATGATGTGTTTAAATAATTCACCATCAAGCTGCTTTTGATTCACAGGAAGAGGTTAAAGGTAAAGTAAAACAAGTAGGAACATTTATCAAAGTATTTTCCACATAAAATAATCAACAATCTTGGGGGGACGGGGCCTTTTCTGTTGATCCTCGGTGTCTTTATGTCCTTATCTTTAACTCCATTTGGTGAAGGATTTAAGATTGTACTCTGGGGAAGGCTAACTTAAATCGAAACAGCTGGCTGGTATGTCCTGCCCTCTAGCTACTGCCAGGCTGATATACCAAAGATAGTGACCACTGGAGTAGGGACTGGGTAGATGGATGTGCTATATTGCCCTTACTCTCACTAACGGGATACACATTGACTTTTTAGGTATCAAGCCTCACTGCTCACGAGGGAGTCACACACCCCATCTTTAACTGATCCAGAGTCAGCCTCTCACCACAGGAGGTGAGTGGGTGAAGGGAACTTGACACAAAAACAGAAAGAGAGATGTGCTGATGCTGTGGTTCTAAAGAATCTGTTGGAGAATTCTCTTGTGGCGGGAGGTCATCTATGTTGGAGGGTAAATAGCCTTCATGGCTGGGAAGGTAGTCCACTGGAATGGCTGTTAAGGGGCTGATTGGATTGTCCAGTTTTGAGTCAGGGACCCTATTCCCTAGCACCTTGTATAAATCCACTAGTTGTCTTGTCTCAACTGTGAGGGTTCTTGAAGGTTGTGAGCTGGAGGAGGTGTATACTGTGTCTTCCTTGGAGGAAGAGTGATGGACTCCTTGTTCTCTTTCTGGCCATCTGGGGCAGTGGGGGTGTCTGAAGACTGGGATCATTTGGTAAAAGACCTCATTGATGATCAGGGGCTCAGGCTCTTCAGGAGCGGGCCAGGCCATCAAGAGACTGTCCATAGGCAGCAGCATCTTCTAGAAGGAAGGAAGAAGAGGCTCAATGTTTAGGTCACCTTGACAACCTATTTCTCCACATTCCCCAAACCTCTCATCTTTCACTCCCACAGCCTCGGGTTACAAACTGGGACTTTGGAGGTCAGGTGGGTAGTTAACATTGGTTAGGGTGGTAGAAGAGTCAGAGGGAGGGATTCCACCCCCAACCCCGCCCCCCTACCTGCCCTAATTCCCAGCCAAGGACAGATTTCACTGCTCAGTTTTACCTTCAGCCTGTCTTTCTATTTGACTCAAGTTGTATCATTTGTTTTTCTCTAAGGTGAGGGCTTTGGGGTGGTGGGTGAAATGATAGTGCTGGGTCTGGAAAGAGATGGAGTGCCTCCTAGGTTGGTGTAGACAGGACTCCAACCTACTGGTTTGTTTCTCTTCTTTCCCCAACCCCCAACATGTCCCTCCTCTCTCTCTCCTCCCTCCCTTACTCCATCTCTCCCCCAGGTCTTCTCTCCTTCTCCCCCTCCCCCATGTCTCTCTCTTTCCTCTCCCTTCTCTTCCCCCATGTCTCTCCTCTCCTCTCCCCATGTCTTTCCTCTTTCCTCTTCCTCCCTCTATCCATCTCTCCCCATGTCTCCTTCCTCTCCCTCTGTCCCTCTGCACCTCTCTCCTTCTTCATTGCTGAGAATCAAATTCAGGGGCTTGTGCATGCTAAGCAAGTGCTTTATCACTGAGCTACATGCTCAACCCTGTTATTTCTTAGTACTTAAAACTGAGGGTTTGGAAATAGAGTCAAAACGAACAGCCGGGCGCGGTGGTACACGCCTGTGGTCCCAGCACTCTGGAGGCAGAGGCAGGCGGATCTCTGTGAGTTCAAGGCCAGCCTGGTCTACATAGTGAGTTCCAGGACAGCTGGGGCTTACAGGGAGACCCTGCTTCAAAAAAACCAAACACTTGAATAGGTTTCCTGTTCTACCCTTTTTTTTTTTTTCAATTTTATTATTTTTATTTTATGGGTATGCATGTATTGCCTGCGTGTAGGTCAGTGCACCGTGTTGTGCAAATGCCCACAGAGGTCAGAAGAGGCTGTCGGATCCCCTGGGACTGGATTTCCAGACAGTTGTTAGCTGCCATGTGGGTGCTGGGATTCAAACCCAGGTCTTCTGCAAGAACAACCAGTGTTCTTAACCACTGTGCCATCTCTCTAGCCCCCATGTTCTACCCTTTTAACTAATTTTGTTTGAGATAGACAAAATTAGCTTATAATTTTGGTAATTCATTACTTAATTCTCCTGTTAACTTTCTCAGCATCCCTTTAGTCACCATCTATATTGTTTTCTTCCTAAGCTTACTGCCAGTTCTCAAGCCCAAGTGCTTGGCACTTCGTTAACATTTCTTCTAGCAGGCTTCAGCTGGATTCTCCTTACAGCCTCACAGTCTCATACAAGGTGTCCAATCTTGTCAAAGTAGAGCTCTGTGCCTTTAATACTTGGGCTTATGTGTGCAGACTCTAGCCCTTGGCCTGGCTGTTCTTCCTGCACCCTCCTTCCCTTCACTGACTGCCTCAATACAGTTTCTTCTCAGTGGCACCAACACAACACCCTGCTAGGCACCTTTAGTCCGTGTTCCCCATTCTTTGCACTTGACTCCTCTAGCAGCAGACAACCACCCATTAGGTTCTGGACACATAAGTTTTTTACATGCCTACAATCTTATCTACACACAGAGAGGGAGGAAAAGAGGACCAAGATGGGTAGATAGGTAGCTAACCAACCTTGGCAGGGCAACTCCTGAGGACTAGTACCAACTTTGACACTCTGGATGGGAAAATGTGATCAACCTCTTGGTGCTCCCTTTTTCTCATTTATTAAATGAAAAGTTGGCACAAGAGGGGCTTGGTTGATTAGCCTCTGATATGACCACTTTTCTTTTGGGCATGGCAAGTGTCAGGAAAGGAGTGATAGCACTTAAGAGTCCATGAAGGGCTTTCATATTTTCTTTTAAAAGTTGACTCTTCCTGATCATTCCCCAAACTGGCCGTGGCATGTAGAAGCATGTGGCATCTGTGCCAAAGCTGGCGCCACACACATGGGAGAGACTACACATGTGGGAGTGTTTACACAGGACAAGAGAGACTGGTTGTTCTTGCCTAGGTGAGCTGTTCTTCTGCCTCCATGGAGCAGTACGGATAGATTACTCCCCTGTGCTTTCCCAGAACTGGCCTCTGGGAAGCCACAGGAAAAGCTCCTTCAATCCCATTGGCTAAGAAACCTCATGGACATTGATTGTAAGTTTTAATAAGCTGGATAACATCCCAGTGATCCTCTATGATTTAGCCTTTTCCTTGAGCTTTAAGGTATGTGTTTTTAATTTCTGTTTCTGTTTCTGCCTCAACCAGGTACCAGGAGTGTAATTTGGTTCTTTAAAACAAGTTACCAGGAGTACAGTTTGGTTCTTTAAAAACAGTCTACCTTGGAACTTTAGAGATCAACCATAATGGCTATGAGGCTGCCTCAAGGCCTTCATCTACTTACTTAAGTTTTTAAAGCTATTTGCCAATTCATTGATTATTTCTACAAAATAAATACAAGTAAGTAGTTCCCTAACATTTTTTTAAGTTTAAAAAGAAAATGTAATGAAAATTAAGTGTCTTTCCTATTCCCAACTTCTCTCCAGAGGCAGCACCATAGTGGATTTTCTGTGTATTATGTAGACTTCTTTAAAAGCCTATGTATATGTTGCAGATGCCTAGGTATGTATAAAATCATCCTCATCATACAACATACAGTGAAAATACTTTATAAACAATTGTTTTGTTGCGATACAGTCTCACTGTAGCCCACCTAGGCCTTGAACTCCTGATTCTCCTGCTTCAGCCTCCCCAGTACAGAGATTATAAGCATATACCACTTTGGTTTTTTTTTTTTTTTTCCACTGAGGTATTTTTTTTTTAATATTTATTTTTATGTGTATGAGTGTTTGCCTACATATGTCTATGTGCACCACATATATGTCTGGTGTCTAGAGGCCAGAAGGTGTAAGAGCTCTTGGATCTAGAGTTACAGATGGTTGTAATGTGGATTCTGGGAACCGAACCTGGGTCCTCTGCAAGAGCAGTAAGTGCTCTTAGCTGCTGTGCCATCTCTCAAGCCCCAATACTTTGTTATGTTAAAAAAAAACAGCTTTAAGCCAGGCAGCACATGCCTTTAATCCCAGTACTCAGGAGGCAGAGGCAGGCAGATCTCGGTGAGTTCGAGGCCAGTGTGGTCTACATAGTGAGTTCCAGGTCAGCTGGGGCTATAGGGAGACCCTGTCTCAAAAAGACTGAAAAAAACAAAAAAAACAAAAAAAAAAAACCTTTAAGTACATGTAAGTCTATGTTTTTTTCTTAGTAGTTACAAACTGTCAGGATACACCTGAATGTACTTTATATTATGCTCCATGTGTTCTTGTACTTATATTGCTGCAATAAATGTACTTTCGTCATGTGACTTTGGGCATGTGTATGCCAATTTCTATTACTTTCTTAGTGTGTCTAAACCTTTGTACATCTTACTTAGCATTTCTTCCAAGCTTATGCTCTCTGTAGCTCCTAATCTCCTAGACAGAGCCTGTGATGTCAAAGCTACAGTGTGGAGGCTAATGTTTGTACTCAGCACAGAGCTGCTTCCCATGTTGCTATTTTAGGCTTTTAGGACCATGATGTCTTACTATTGGAAGAGACCATCAAGCTCAGCTGGTTCAGATTCTGATACCTGAATCTTCCCAAACACCAGCAAGGCATCTTCAAAGGCCTTGTGGCTCATTATGTATTCCCATAGGTTGTTGCAAAGTTGTCACCCAGTGAGGGATAGTGTATGGATAACTCCCTAGTGAGTGTTTAACTCAGAGGTGTAGGTCTTTTGTAACACTCCTTATCCCGTCTAAAGGTCTGTTGTAATGTATAGAGTCTTCATATCCTGTTTGAAAATGAATTTAGGATGCATCTTTTATAGCTGACTGTGTTGGGTAAGTTACTTGGTCCTTTGTACCTCAGTTTCCTCATTTGAAAAATGAGGATAATAGTACAACCTCTTAGAGCTGTCAGTGGATTAAGTGTCAGTGTATGAAATTAAAAATGCCTGCCATGTAGGAAGTGATGTACAGGTTATTTATAAGTGGAAGATGTAATACACATAATTTTAGACTTGACTAATACATAGTATATAATATATATATTGTGTACACACTTGTCTTTGTCTGTTTTTACTGTTGCAACTGAATGGGAACAAAATCCCTCAATAGAGAGGGGTCTTCTTAAAGTATGGTCGTTCTTGGGAAGAAAGCGAGAGCTGAAAAGAAGTGGGTATGATGGATCATGCCTGTAATCCCAGGAGGATCTCTGTGAGGTTGAGGCCAGCCTGAGCTACAGAGTGAATCTGTATCACAAACACCAACTCCCAACAACAAAAAGTGAAAAGTAAGTGCTTCTCATTAACCTTCACAACAGCATGCAGAAAGCTGGAACTAAGGCTCCAGAACGTTAGACAAGTTACCCAAAAGTCACACACAGAGTAAGCAGCAAAGGCAGGATCAGCCCCCAGACCTGAATGCAAAAGCACTGAACTGCACTGACTTTATTCCTAAAGCAGAGGTGGGTGAGCTGGCTGGGCCACTGCCTTTTGGCTTAAGGAGGGGTGTTGACCAAACTCAGTAATTTAAGAGAAAAATCTTGAAAAAGAGCTACCAAGGCCCCAGGCAATAGAAAAGATATGGACATGTCGCTTCCCTCCCCTCTTGTTCTTGTTCTTTTTTGGGGTCTTTTTGAGACACAGGGTCTCCCTGTAGCCCCAGCTGACCTGGAGCTTACTATGTAGACCAGGCTGGCCTTGAATTCACGGAGATCCACCTGCCTCTGCCTCCTGAGTGCTGGGATCAAAGGCATGTGCCACCACGCCAGGCCTCTATTCTTAAATGCACAGTCTTGTGCCACAATTCAGAGGCCACAAACTTTGAAGCCTTCCTCCGGAGACAGCCTGTCTTAATCCCTTCCCATGTAGACTGGTAGCTTCCTTTGCTTATTTGCCCTTAACTCTCTGAGCAGCCTAACCCTTTAAGCTTTTTCTTTACCCATTGGAATGACTTAACTGGTTTCTTGCAAAGACTAAACTAGGGTTGCTCCAGCAGGAGAGGGAAAGTCAAAAGCTTCAATTATCTTGCATTTAGGTGAGTCTGTTCTCAGACTGTGGATCAGCAAATGGCAAAAATACTTGTCTTCATTTGTAATACATTGAGGTGAGGAGGGGTATACATCAGGCTCATGGAAGAAAACACTATGGGTCTTTTTTTGTCTTTGTTCATAAGCTTCAGAAGTTCCACTGCATGAATGCTCTCAAGTCCAGGATGAAAATGATGATGCCTTACTGACTCAGCTGTCCACAGGATCTCAGTCCTAGGAGCCTTAGATGTGGTCATCATAGCACCACACTGACTGCCACTATGACTTTGGACTTACCTCCACAATGGAGTACTTCTTTGCCCAAGTGCTGTTTGCTGGGTCTGGAATTTCTCTGCCACACCATTGAGGTCTGAGAGTAGAAAAGAGAGCAAATACCCTATAGATAAGAGAACAGTGACATTTGGTTAAGCATGTGGACAGAGTCATGGGAACACAGGCTCTAGTGTAGTGATTTCAATGTGTGTGTTGGAGGGGATGGGCTTCCTTTTATGGCAAGAGTAAAATGCAAAATCCCAAAGGCATGGCATTATGAAAGCTGGAGTACTTTTCTGTGATGGTTTGAATTGATGATCAGTCAGGATACAGCTACTTAGAGTTTACTAAATAAACTAAAAACTTTTGCTCAACATAATTTTTAGCAGTGTATCACTATCCAGCCATGCGTTCATCCAACAAATAGTATTAAACTCCTAAAAATGTGGCCAATACAGTGGCACATGCTGGGACTAGAACAGCAAACCAGGAAACACGGTTCAAATCCTTGGGGAACTTAATAATGAGCTAATTAAAATATTTACAAAGAGTTTGTAATGACTGATATTACTGGAAGTTTAAAATAAGATACTAAGTGGTGTGAGTAACTTGAACCTAATCATGTTAAAAATGTCAAACCATGTCAAAAAAAAGGGTATTTTTGAAAAATATCTGAACTGTTAACAGTGGTTATAGTGTGATGGGAAAAAGATTCAAGAAGATTTCATATAAATGCATGTGACTTAAACTCTTTTGGCCATTAAAAAATTTAAAGCAATATGGAACATTTTAAAAAGACTTGGCTTTTATAAGCTTTGATGTAAAAAGGAAAGATACAATTTAACCATTTGATATAGAGAGGTGATGTGTGGCATTCTGGGTAATAACAGAATATATGTATTTGACTCCTGAGCTAAACTTTTTCAATGTATACCTAAAAAGAGCTCTGCTTTGAAGTCTTAGTCAAGTGTAGAGCTGCATGTACGTTCATTGGCTGGTAGAGTTCTATTTTGACATCTATTGCTTTACTTGGCATCTAAAGAAAGCGTTGTGTTGAAAAATGAGCTAATTATATTTTCTTTGCAAAACAATACACTTTTTTTTACTAAATAAAATTTTGAAGATTAAAATGATTATGTGGTGTAGGTGTGGGTGTTGGTGTGTGCATGCTATGCATATGTGTGGGGGGTCAGGTGTCAACTTGGGTGAATTGGTTCTCTCTACCATGTGGGTCCCAGGGATCAAACTCAGATCAGATCAAGTCAGGCTTGGTGGCAAACACCTTTATCCACTGGGCCATCTTATAAGCCCAAATTTTATAAAATAAATAGAATTAAAGTCATCTATAATTTCTGTCCCCAGATAGAGCCACATTTAACACCGTGTTGTATATCTTTGGGGCAGAGTGTTAATTGCCACCGAATATTCTATTTCCACCCTTTCCTCAGAACAAGATCTTGATTTATTGGGATGACAGTGAACTCATCTAATAAGACCATAATTTTAATCTTTCTCCTTTGCCTCACCAGTTTCTATCCTTTGAGATGGAACTGAAAGCAACATGTGTGACTCTTAAAGTGATGTACCCGATGTACCCAGGCATGCTGGCACACGCCTTTAGTCACAGCACTCAGGAGGCAGAGGCAGGGGGATCTCTGTGAGTTCAAGGCCAGCCTGGTCTACATAGTGAATTCCAGGCCAGCTGAGGCTGCAGGGAGACCCTGTCTCAAAAAGACCACACAAAAAAGCGAAGTAGGTACACCTTTCCATTTTCCTCAGATTGTAGAAGGCAGAGTAGTTCCTGTAGCCATGAGACACTGAAGTGAAAGCTCATGGCAGAAACTCAAGGATGGAAGCCACATCAGGATAGTGAAGCAGAAAATAGTTCTTGGCAACTATGGAGCTGCCAAAGCAGCCTCTACCTGGGTGACAACCTGCTGGATAGTTTAAATCTATTTTGACTTTTGTTGCATACAACCAGATCTATATTGAGAGCTTGTTTGGGAGTTCTAGCAGGGAAGCACAGCGACTCATATACCCTTGAACAGGCCTGTTCTACTAGAGAACATCATTCTCTAAGTGCAACTTTGAGAGGAACCATGTAGAGGAAGGGGACGCCTAGTAGCCAGATCAACTGAGTCAACCCTAGTGATCAGTAGGGTATCAGATGTCACAGTCAGATTGCCACCTCATCCCTAGCTATCTGACATTCATCTGTGTATATATTATCTTCAAAATGTAAAAATATGGACCATCCTGCAACATTTAAACTGTGATATAGCAATATATCTAATTTTCTTCTATATCTTTATCTTTAATCTTCTTCTCTTTATCTTTAGTGGATAAATGGTAACTTATAGTTTCCTTATGAACAATCCTTCACTAAACATGTTTTTAACTAAATATGCATGCATCTATGATATATTTAAATGTATTAGAAATTTTAAGGTCAAGGGTTAACTTAAAAATTTGACACAGTCAGCAAAAAAGGCTGAAAACTTTTATCCTTCTACAGTGAGGTATTCATTCACCTGACCCGCCGCAACAATAGCTATTATTCATTTATTTGCTTTTTTTTTTTTTTAATGTGTGCGTATCAGTGTTTTGCCTGCATGTATGTAAGTGCACCTGTGTCGTGCAATGCCCACAGGGCCAAAAGAGGGCATTGCATTCCCCTGGAACTGGAGTTGCAGATGGTTATTAGTCTCCATGTGGGTGCTGGGACTCAAACCAGGTCCTCTGCAAGAGCAGCCAGTGCTCTTAACTGCTAAGCCATCTCTCCAGCCCTTATTTTGTTTTTTTGAGATAGCGCCTCCCTATAGCCCCAGTTGGCCTGGAACTTGCTATGTAGACCTGGTTGGCATCTATGCCACAGAGATCTATCTGCCTGCCTCTGCCTCCTCAGTCCTGGGATTAAAGAGGTATGCCACCATGCCTGGCAAGCAATAGCTATTATTTTTAAAAATAGATTTAGGAGGTGGTTCAGTGGGTAGGAGCCCTTGCTGTGCAAGCATGGGGACCTAGTTCAGATTCTTAGCTCCCATGTAAAAGCAGAGTATGGCCAGCCGTGTGTGTCTGTGACTCCATTGTTGAGGGGTGGGAACTCGGGAATCCTGGGAACTTGCTGGCCGGCCAACCAGCCTAGCCAAAATGGCAACTTTCAGATTCAGTGAGAGACCTGTCTCAAAGAAGGCAGAGAGTGATAGAGGGAGACACCCAACATCCTCCTCTGGCCTCCTCATGCACATGCATGGGCACATGCTTCCCCATATGTGCATACACACACACACACACACACACACCCCACACACAGTAAATTTACCAAATCAGCAGGTGTAACCAACTCACTTTTGCCGAAAGTAACGTACTGAGAAAATGCCCACTGTGATGATAGCGATGCAAATGCTTGATGCCACAAATGCTTTCCAGTTGGCTTTTCCTGAAAAGTGAGCAAATCTTGGAACTGAGTTATCTCTAATGAGCACTTCAAAATTCTAACTTTGTGAGCTCTCTGGACCCTACCCACAGCTCCTGGGCAGCTAGGCTTAGGAACAAAGCCAAGCCATGTTTGGCCATTCATTTAGAGAGAAGGGCCCTATGGGGTCCAATTCTGTATTCTCAAAGGAGCCCTGGCCCTACAAGGGCTCCCTATCTCACAGGTGTATGCAGCCATGGGTTAAGAAGCCTCACAAGGCTTTCTAGAGGGGGGCTTCCACTCAGTTTTGAAAAGTGAGTTCATACTGTCTCCAAACTGTGGAGTGGGAGGACAGTATAGTTAGAGGAAACAGCAAGTGTGAAGTCACTAGTGAATTAAGGATAATCTCCATGCCACATGTAGTAGGAATGTATGTTTACACCAGAATCCACAGTGAACTCACCATCTTTAGCCTCTTACCTTGTAGACAAAATTCCCTTTCGTTTCCTTGAGGGCTTTCACCAGCAGCAGTCAGAGCTGTCATCCACAGAACATATGTCACTCCAGGCTGCAGGCTGTTTATTGGGTGTGAACTTTGGGAGCTTCTGTAGGGAATTTCTGAGAGGAAGATAAAGAAAGAGAGGAATGTGGTAAAGGAAATAGTTGAATGGGGCATTCCCTTTATTTTAATGCTCCATTTAATTTGAAAGACAAAAACATACTGCTGTTTTAAAAGGACATACATTCATCTGAACTTAGTGCTTTAGTAGGCTGTAGGCCATTTATGGAGGGCTTGCTGCACAGTGCAACAAACATTTTTTTTCTGTGACAAAATCTAATGAAAGATTTTTTTTTGTTATTTTTACTTCAAATTATTTAGTGGTAGTAGTTCCTTTTGTTTCTTAAGATTAATATTTTTTCATATTTATCACATATCTTTGACTTCTTGAGGAGGAAATTAGTGTACAAATTGTTTTTAAGGTAAAGGAATTTTTTTTTTTTTGAGCCAGGGTCTCCTTGTAGTCCCAGCTGGCCTGGAATTCACTGTGTAGACCAGGCTGGCCTTGCCTTTGCTTCGAGTGCTGGGATTAAAGGCATGTGCCTCCACACCTGAAAGTAATGGAATTTTTAAAGTTTAGCAAATAATGAAACTTACTTGAACTTTGGCTCTTTTTGTAGGCTCATCTTGAACTTACAGTGAATGCTTAGCTTCAATTTGATATAAAATCGTTAAAAAGCTAGAGCAGTGGAGGAACTGGAGAGGTGGCTCATCATTAAAGAGCACTGGCTGCTCTTGCAGAAGACGTGGGTTTTGTTTCCAGCACCCACAGGACAGCTGAACAGTCTGTAATTCCAGTTCTAGGGGATCTAGCACCCTCTTCTGATCTCAGTGGGCATTGCACACAGGTGGTACACTTACATGCAGCAAAACACTCATACTCATAAATAAAAGAAATTAACTAGAGCAATGGTACAGAGATGAGATTTACTTGGCAGTTGGGTTTCCAGTTTCTTATGTTCTCAATACCCCTATGGTTTCTCCACAAAGCAGATTCTGCTTCTTGATCAATGTGCCGATGCCATTTTACCCTCTAAGATCACAAGTATTGGTAGCAAAGAGGCCATTTTCTGGAATGTTCTTCTGGGACATGGGTTGAAGGTGACCCTCTACCCCACTCCAAAGGGCTGAGGCCTGGGCAGATCATTTTACAGCTGTGACTATCAGAGAAATTTCTATATTTTACATTCTGTTAAGAAAAATGTCTTGTGGAAAATTCCAAGGTCTACTATAGCTTGTTGAAATTACTTACACAGACTTAAGTAATATGATTGAGCTAAAAATAAAAAATCTCTATTCCTAAAGCAAGGGATTAAAAAATTAATTTTAGCAAGAGCTTCTGTTCATCTCGCTGCAGCGAAACCTCAGCGGGCATCAAGGAGTCACCTGTCCAACTGTGTGAGGTCCTGAGCTATGGAAGCAAAATGAGACACCAGAGCAGAAGGGAAGGGATTTGGATGGTATGCTGGGTTGATAAAGTTTATTCACACACGCATGTTTGGAGAACAAAAATAGCAGCTCTATGTGGGGAGCAGAGGTAAGAGTGGTGGAGTCAGCAAAACTCAGCAAAAAAGCTGAGTTGTGTAATGAGAGAAAGAAGTCCAGCAGGAAAGACTGGTCCTGCTGCCTCTGGGCTGTGATCCCTGGTACAGATACTAGGGCACCCTTTACCCTCCACAGATGGAAACTTTAAACTCAGGTGGTTGAGTGAAAAGTTTACCAGTTTAGGACATTGTGTTTGCTGCCAACCATCTGAAAGACTTTTGATATGAAGATCAAAAGAGTTGCACTGTTGCAAAACAGTTTTACTGTTACTGGGAATTAATTTACCTGGATATCCACATTGGCCTTAGCAGGGGACAGGGTAGTTTTCACCCATTTATTAGTCAGCAGGCCATGTTTATTAAGCACCTACCATCTAACTGGCTGTGTTCTAAATTGAAGAGATAATGGTAAGCAAATCACTGTGACTTCTGCTCTTGAATGCTTAGAATCTGTTGGCAAAAACAACCTGGCAGTGTCATGTGTCATATGGAAGGGAGGTGTGCTTGCCATCAGATTACTGGTGCACTCTCAACTCCAGATGGGAGACTGTGCTGCAGATTCACCCATGGAACTTACTAGACTGTAAGTGCTGGGGCCCACCCTAGTTCTTTCCTCACTTAGCCTGCCCAGGTAGGGCTAGTGACAAAGGACTTCACCTTTTTTTAGTAATTCTTCCCCCATGCCTTAACACTTCTCCCTGGGACCCAATGCCAAACCCCAAGCAGGGTGGAGTCCCTTTCTTGAAACACTGGGAATGTTCCTTTAGCTGTTGAGACCCTTTTCTTTCTCAGAGTCTTGTTCCTCCTCCACAACCCCTCCACCATCTAGAAATGACTTGGATTCAATGATTTCTGGTTGCCAGACACAATAAGGGGTTGTTGGTTTGATTGTAGCAAGTGTTTGTACTTTCCTGTTTCTCTCAGTATACTGATGATAAGGGAATACGGCTCACTCATCATCAAGTGCTTACTGGATTAAATGGAAAATTAGTCTTGACTGATATAGGACAATCTCCCCTTTGAACTTACTTTAAAATAGTAGATTCTAGCCGGGCGTGGTGGCGCATGCCTGTAATCCCAACACTCCAGAGGCAGAGGCAGTCGGATCTCTGTGTGTTCAAGTCCAGCCTGGCCTACATACTGAGTTCCAGGACAGCTGGGGCTACAGGGAGACCCTGTCTCAAAAAGACCAAAAAAAATAGTAGATTCTAGACACATTGGATTTGTGGCAGGTGTGGCAGATGTTTTCTTCAATATATACAAGAACAGCTGCTAGAAGTAGTTGACTATGTTGATATTGGTGGTTGTAAATGGCCATCTCAGCTTAAATTATGCCAAAAAGAAATTTGTTTCCCAGGGAAATGTTACATGAAGGATTCTAGTTAATAGCTAGTAAAGAATTCAGTTGATTCAACAGCCTTTGGAGTACCTTTCAGAACTGGCTTATCCTGACAGGCCTAGTGGAAAAGTAGTTCTGTTCATTTATCAGTGATGGGTTAGCTAACAAATCATGGCAAGTCTGCAGAGCTTTACTTAAGAATGATGGGGCTGGAGAGTTAGTTCAGCAGTTAAGAGCACTGACTGCTCTTGCAGAGGACCCAGATTCAATTCGCAGCACCTACATGGTGGCTAACAACCATCCGTAACTCCAGTTCCAGGGATCCAATGCCCTCTTCTGACCTCTGCAGGCATTGTACAACATGGGTGCACTTACACACATGCAGGCAATACACTCATACACATAAAATAAAAATAAATATTAAAAAAAATGAGGCAAATCCACATGGACCTGTGTGGAAAGATCTCTAGTAATTTTAAGTAAATTATAGGTTAGAATATAGAAAAAGATTCCAAATACATTCTTGTGTATGCATTGCTGTTTTCTGGAACACAGAAAACAGGTCAAGTACAAAGAGAAAGAATTTTCATTTTCTATCTCAAAACTACTTAAATATTTTTACCAAGTATAAGTATTGTTTATATAATAAATGTTAACTATGAAAGTCATAACTCAGGGAAAGGTCAACAGAGAAGACAAACTTCTCAAGTTTCCTGGGTAAAAAGCCCTGTGGCAGCTCTCTGGAATCTGCAACTCCAGTGGACTTACATTCTCCTTGGACCAATAACTCTCATGTAGGAATGAAAATGTCCCTTCTTCCTGGCAAATGCTCCTGAAAGAAAGCCAGCTACTTATGAAATAGAGAGACGATCATGCCAAAAACAAAAACAAAACAGCTCTGATTAAAGATTGAAAGATCAGATCACACAAGTGACAGGTTACATGAATGAGTGATTCATGAAACCATTTGAGATAATGCCCCGGCCAGAGTTTAATTACTTTGGTTTTAGAGCTGAAGAACAGTTACAGGTCATAAAAAATTGTTTTTAAGCTGGCTGGTATTTTTTTTCCATCCTAAGAAGAAAGTATGTTATGATGGTAACTGCTTACATGGGAATTTAGAAGTTATCCAGGTGTGTTCCTTGACAAACTTTTTTTTTCCCCCTCACTAAAGTATGAACTCTTTAAACTGTCCTGAGTATCATTCTTCCTTATACACATCAAAACTCAAACTGGAGAATGAACTCTGGGTTGCAAAACAGGATTGATTTTTACACCTCTTACGACTTTGTCTTCTAGTTCAATGGAAACACAAGTGCTACTATTGTTTGTTTTGAGACTGTCTCACCACACAGCCCAAGCCTTCCTCAAACTCACATGCCTCTTGCCTTTGCTTTCCTAGTGATGTGATCATAGGTATGTACCCCCAGGCTTTTATTGCTTTTTGAAATGCTGTCTGCCCTGTAAGCGGACACCTTGAGAGCCTAGTCCAATTTATGTATCTTTAGCAATTTGCTTAGCTTATGACATAAATAATAACTTTGCAAGTGTGTGTTTAGCTATCCTTTATCTTTAACTCATTTCACAGATACCAGCATAGTGTCAGCACAGTGTAGTGATGCATATGCTTAGCCTTGTGTTTTCTTAACATCTAAACAGGATGCCCACTTTGCTTGGTTCTCACACATACCACAGAGTTCAGGCTGTGAGCTAGAGTCTCGTTCTTTCCAGTATATTCTGTAATGGAGGATGCAGCCCATTTGCTCCTGGACTGGGATGTGGTTCCAGGAAATAAAAAGGCTCCCCTTTTCCTCTGTAATGTTACTGATGTGAGGGCCACTCAGTGGTGCTGCAAAGAAGGACACAAGAGGCTTCTGTCACCCTCCAAATCCAAATCACTAACAGAAGTTTTGGTGAAAGGTCCCTAGGCTCACCTTTGTGCTTGGAGTCACCCAGGATGGAGATACACCCTCCTTGACTTTCTGACAGTGCATGTACATGGATTTCATAACAGGTGTAGGGCTTTATGTTTGCTGCAAGGAAAAGGGAGTTCTTATAACCACGCATGACATCCCCAGTGAGTCACTACAAAGAGTTATGTTAATACCTGCATCAAGACATTTCTTACCTTTTCTTAGTTTAAAGATTAAAAAAGCAGTCTGGACTGAGAATAAAGAGATGGCCCAAGTTTCCAGTTTCTGGCTATCACTTCCAAGAAACCCAAGTGAGGGGCGGGTGCATATCTGTGTGTGAGACAGGGTCTTTCTCTGAAGCCCAAGCTGACCTCAGAATCATAACTGTGTGTGTGTGTGTGTGTGTGTGTGTGTGTGAGAGAGAGAGAGAGAGAGAGAGAGGTGCCCCTCGTAGCACTGCCTGTAATGCACCTTTAAATTCCAAGTCTGTTTTTTCATTTTATTTTATTCATTTTAAAATTTATCCATGTATGTGGGTGGGGTGTCTGTGGAGGCCAGAAGAGGGCATCTCAAACCACCATATATATATATATATATATATATATATATATATATATATATATATGGACTTGGACTCATAGAATAGAGATGTGCTTGCCTCCTGAGTGCTGGGACTAATGGTGTGTGCCACCACACCAGGCTTAAATTCCTAATCTTAAAGGCACAAGAGAAATGAACCCCACTAGATAACTATAGTATGAGATGGTCAAAGTAAGGACTGTCCAGTACTGCTTAGTGTTGTAATGATGGTTTACTAGGGTCCCCTACCCTGATAAATGCCTAATTATGTTACCTTTGGGGGAAGAGAAATTTTACACCACATAGTAATTTACTAAATTGTGTGTGTTTTATATGAAAATCCAGTAAATATTTCAGTAAGTACATAAAGCTCATTACACAACCAATTCTGTCAGAAGAGACCATGACAAGACCAAGTGCACAGTGTGGGTAAGTTCTAATTTGAGTTCATAAACCAAATGAAATGGAGAAAGCAGCTGTCATCTTAGTCCTGTAATCCACAGATTCCCCATGCATGGCATCCAGGTCAAAGGCAATACAGATTATGGAATCATACCACCTTGGAAAGGTCTGGCTCTGTTCCTAGTTCCTGGCTCTTCTGCATTGTGGCCTCTGGAGATATGTTAGTTCCTGATGAACTAACATATGCAAAATGTGAGTCCTGTTGCTACTCTATCAATCAGAAGCCATGGGCTTTTTCCTGTGAATGGCCTGCCTTTAGTGGAAGAGGGAAGATAAACATGGCTCTGTATCTTCCTTGACATTTTCCCTTTTTTTAAAATTTTATTATTTTTATTTTATGTGTATGCATGTACTGCCTGCATGTAGGTAAGTGCACCCACGTCATGCAATGCCTGAGGAGGTCAGAAGAGGCTGTCGGATCCCCTGGGACTGGAGTTACAGTTAGCTGCCATGTGGGTGCTGGAATTCGAACCTGGGTCTTCTGCACGAACAACCAGTGTTCTTAACCTCTGAGTCATCTCTCCAGCCCTGACATTTTTCCTTTTCAAGAAGAGCAGAGCCCTCCTGGCAAACTTTCCCTAGTTCTGGCCTTAAGGACTATTTCTCTGGCTGATACTATATGAACACTCTTCTAATGGTGTCTGCTCCCCTCCTTAAGAACCTTCAGAAAAGAAGCCACATGTAGATGGCTTTATTTCCTTTATACAATTTCCAGACTCATTCCATACCACTTTCATGTTGCCTGATGTACTAGCACCCATGCATGGACAAAGGCTTTGTCTCCACATTTATAAGCCATCTTTCAGTACTTTTCTGCAGAAATTTAGTTTCGCCTCAAGTGTGGTGCAAGGCAACTCTTGCATGAATAATGTAACCTCGAGTGACTGGGGCCCTGGCATGTAGCAGAGGGACCCAACTATACTAGGTCTCAGGGAAGTGCTTCCAGACTCTGACTCTGTGGACAGACAATGCAGTCTCTAGCCCTACCAGCCTATGATCCAGGAATCAAGTTTATTCTGGTCCACTCCAAAATACCAGACACTGTCCATATAGCCAGCAATGGAACATGTGGGTGAGGATCCAGTTGTACTGGGAGGACTGTCTGAATTCATGGTAAGCATGCATTACTGATTTTTGAAGTGTTCATAGCATAAACTGATGTCAAGCCAAATGTTTTCAAGTGAAAGAACAATCTTGTTATTTTACTATTTTGTTAAATTAATTTTAGCCACATGCATAATTCAAAAGTGATTGAAAGCATTTACTTTTACTAAGTGTGGAAAGTATTCTCTCTTGCTTTATGGTGTTTGTATAAAATTATATGATTTCCAAAAGGAACTGTGGGAACTGTATAGTTCAAATGTCTCCTTTGATATTATTTAGATTTTGTTAGAATTTAGAAGAGCTTACAGTTTCCCAGTTCAGCAAGAGCTTTTTCAATCCATATCTCCAACTGATTCAATGAGCATAACAGCCCTGAAGGAAAATTGGTTCCTCTGAAAAACCTCCAGCTATCCTGAGAGAGCAACTAAGTTGCTTCTCAAAATTGATACCTCCATTCTTACCATTTCCTTTGAGAGTTTAAATCCTGCTCTCTGGGGCTGGAGAGATGGCCCAACAGGTAAGAGCACTGGCTGCTCTTGCAGAGGACCCAAGTTCAATTCCCAGCACCCATATGGTGGCTTATAACCATCTGTAACTCCAGTTCCAGGGGATCCAACACCCTCTTCTCTGATCTCTACAGGCATTGCACAACACAGGTGTATTTACAGCATGCAAGCAATAAACTCATACTCATAAAAAATATTTTAAAAAATCTTGCTCTCCAGAACAACCACGGAAACATACTTTTACACATATATGCTGAAACTGGCAGTAACCATCAAGCTGCTTACTCCATCCCTTCTAAATTTCTCTTCTGGCTAAAAGGTTTCCGGATTAGAAGTTCCAGACTCCCAATGCCTTGCTAACCCTTCTGTGAGTGAGTGTTCACTGGGTCACCCTCTGCAGCATCCTCTTCAACAGCTATCAAAACTCAACCTACTAGAAGTCTAGCAGTCAGGCCCAAAAAAGGCACTCAGTTAAAGACCAGCTCATATGTTATGTAGCCTACTATTAGACTACTAATAGTACTTATTTCTGTGTGAACCTTGTCTTTTAAAGCAGGTTGTAATACAGCCTCCTTGAGAAGTATAATGATGGTCATGGTGTAATTACAATATGGAATTTAGAACTTGCAAACCTATTTAATTCCCAGTTCTGACAAATTTAATAAGAATGATATGTTAGCTCAATTATTGCATATTTAAATTTTTTCAGGCAATATTCAGAACATCTTCCATATATTAATTCCTCATAATAACCCAATGAGGTAGGTAATATTAGTCTCATTTTTCAGATGAGAAAATGGGCACAGATGATCATACAACTGTAGTAACAGAGCTAGGACTCAGACCCAGGTAGACTGTCTACCTAACCAGCACTTTAAACCACAATGCTGATCTTACACTGAAAATGACATGAAGTTCTGCCCAGTCATTTTAATGTGTTTTCAAAGACTTTCACATCATTCTAACCACTGACATGAGGAACCTGAGGATTAGAGAAATCAATTATCATGTAAATAGTCTGTTTTTATTATGACACAAATGAAAAGGAGCAGAATTGGGAGTGAAGATCTCTTGGTTTTGTCATCTGTATGGTGGTTTTAAAATAATGACTCAATGGGGGCTAGAGAGATGGCAGAAGACCTGGGTTGGAATCCCAGCACCCACATGGCAGCTAACAACTGTCTGTGACTCCAGTTCCAGGGGATCCGAGAGCCTCTTCTGTCCTCCATGGGCATTGCACGACATGGGTACACTTACCTACATGCAGGCAATACACGCATACACATAAAAGTAATAAAAAAATGACTCAGTGTACAAGATTGTTTTGAGTTAGTGGTTTCCCAAAGATAAAGGCATCTATCACCCTGACATGTTGACTTAGCTCTCTGCCACACTTGTTTGGTTCAACTCTTCTTTCATTTTATTAGCAACATGTTAGGGATATAGTTCTTCCATAAACACTAGGTTTCTTAACCAGTTGGTCTTCTAGGAGTGCAGTGATGGAGTCCTCAGGGCATTCTTGATGGACTCTAGGTCATCACTGTCCCATTATGACTCTAGGTTATGATGTAATTGAAGGCAAGACTCTGCCTGCACTTCCCCCAAACAAATGTGAACTTGGTAACCCTTGAGGAAGCAATGTGAATAATTTGGTACCTGAAATCTGAGCAGACAAGTTGTAGGGGGGGATTCGAAGCCAGCTTAGTGGAGGTTGTGGGAAGCTCCCTGGATGGAGGGCTCTCCATTCTACCACATACTCCCAAACTGCAGAGGCAGCTTTCTCTGGAGGCTGCCAGGCCACCACGATGTTGTCCATGTTCTCTGAGTTTGCAGAGATCTGGTGAGGAGCCAGCAACCCTTTAGGGGCAGGGAAGAGGAAGAACAGAATCAGAGTGGCTAAAGGTGAAAACAGGAGCTGGGGAGATAGTTCACTCAGTAAAGTGCTTGAAGACATGAGTTTAGTCTCCAAAACCACTGGGGGAAAACCAGGCATGGTGGCATGGTGGTACACACTTGTAATCCCAGTGCTGGGGAGTTGGGGACAGGCAGGTCCCTGGGGTTCAGTGGCCAGCCAGCCTAGCCTGCTTGGTGAACTCCAAGCCCATGTCAGACCCTGTCTCAAAATACAAGGTGAAGAGTGCCAAAGGAATGATAATCCAAGGTTGTCCTGTGGTTACATGGGCACAACTCTCGCACCCACTGACCACACACACACAAAACAAGATAAAAAACACAACAGTTTTCCCAATCAAGTTTCAGGAGGAATCAATCCCTGTTTAAGGACATCAGGGTTAAGGTTAAAGTTCATACTTTTCAGTCTATGGAGAGCTAGCAGCAGCAGCAGCTTGTACAATAACCCCGTTGTAGCTTCTTTGTAGAATTATTTGTCCTCTTTGTATTCCATTTCCATGTCCCTCAAAATGCCTTCTCTGTTAAATGTAATGCCCATCCTTTTACTCTACCTTCCATGTGTCTGCTTAGGCATAAATGTGTCTGAAAATTAGTGTGACTCAGCATTCCAGTGTTGTATTTTCTCAGAGCATATTGAGAGATAAATCTTTGTGCTTTCTCAAACCTTTTTCACTCAACTTTGTTTCTGGAAAAGCTCTGTCCTGCTTAAACCCAGGTCACTTCTTCAGACTGCTACCTGAACGCTTTTCTCGCAGTGGCAGTTCTCTGCATGGCCTCCTGGGCGTCTGGACAAGGCCATTCTGAATACGTACATACAACACTGCTTGATTAGAGAGTAAACACGTATGATTTCCTTCCCTTCATTCTTCCAGACTGATCTCTAAAATAGCCAAATGAACGGGGCTGCAGTGCTTCCTAGCATGCACAAGGCCCTGGGTTTGGTCCTTAGCACTGCATACATGCACACAGATAATAAAATAGCAAGTTAACAGTCAGGGCTCTCAACTTTCATCTATACTTTGGATTTCTTCACTTGCTTATCTTTATCAATTTGGTATGCATAAGCTGATATTTAATTGGAGGCTCTATCCTCATTTTTCTGATTTCCTTATGAGGTCAAGCTTCTCACTCTTTCTCCTGTGACTCTCTATTCACAGGCTTGGCTCATTTTGCTGTGTTTCTTTTTCTGATTGCCAGGTAGCTTTGATATTCCGTTTGTTTGTTTGTTGCCTTTTGAGACAGGGTCTCCCTGCACCCCAGCTGGCCTGGAACTCACGGCACAGACCATGATGGCTTCAGTCTTAGAGAGATCCCCCTGCCTCTGCCTCCCTCTGCTGGGATTAAAGGTGTGTACCATCACACTGGGCTAGCATTGATATTCTTGGTGCTAATTACTTCTCAGTTTTCAACTCTTACTACAGTCACTTCTTTGACACTTTATGAGCCACCTTGGGATGGGAAAATTTGCCTTAATTTGTGTATTTTGAATATTGTTTGTAAAATCTCCCCACCCTGGGGACATGAACACGCTCAGCGACATTTTCTCCTGTTGACTTTTAAAAGATATTTTTATTGATTGAGAATTTCATACAGTGAATTTTCATTATATTCAGACTCCCTCCTCCATCTCCACCCCACCCTATTACCTTCCAACTTCTTGTTCTTAATTATTCCTACTGGCTTTTTTTTTTTTTGGTCCTGTTGAGACAGGGTCTCCCTGTAGCCCCAGCTGGCCTGAAATTCACTAATATACCAGGCTGGCCTTGATCTCACAGAGATCCGCCTGCCTCTGCCTCCTGAGTGCTGAGATTAAAGGTGTGCACTAACCACACCCAGCCAGTTGTATACTGTGTTCTTTTGTTTTTTAGTTTTTGTTCTTAGTTTTTCAGAAACGTCTACTACCATATCCTCAAGCTCAGAGATTCTTCTCAGCCGTGGCCAGTCTACTGATAAGCTCATCAGACCACATTCATTTCTGTGTTTTCGATCTCTAACACATCTGTGTATTCTTTCTTATAATTCCTATCTCTCTGATTACACTACTTATCTGTTCTTGCACATTTCCTACTTTATGCATTAGTCTTTAGCATATTAATCACAGTTGTTTTAAATCCCAGGTCTGACAGTCACAGTATCCCTGCTCTATCCAAGCCTATTTCTGTTTGCTCAGTCTGAACAAACTGTGGGGTATTTGAGTTTTAGCAGCTTCAATTGTTAAAAGGCAGTTACACGGTGCTGAGTTGATGGAATTGCAGTACATGGGCTTTTAGTAATGTGCAAAGGTGGGTGAGGGCATGCTTCAGTCCTTTCATTAGGGCCCCTGTCCCTCACTGCCAAATGCATAGGTGCTTCTCTCCTGCCATCCCTTAGGTATCTGCTTCTCTTTTCAACTATGGAGGCCGTGGCTTCCCTGGGTCCTTACTTCTCTGATGGATTAAAGAAGATTGGGTAATGGGAACGTGAATAAGGTCAAAGCATATGATAAATATCATGAAAACATAATGAAACCTATGAATGTACACTAATAAAATAACAGAAACTCTGTTCAAGTAGAAATGAAAGATGCTTCGTGCTATTCCTCTAGTTAAAAATAGAAATACTGGGGCTGGAGAGATGGCTCAGCTGTTAAGAACACTTGCTATTCTTCCAGAGGACCCCAGGTTCAATTCCCAGCACCCACATGGCAGCTAAGAACCATTTGCAACTCCAGTTCCAGGTGATCTGACGCCCTCTTCCGGCCTTTGTGGGCATTTCATGCACATGATGCATTTATATACATACAGGCAAAATACTCATACACATAAAATAAAAATGTTTTTTTAAAATTGAAATATTTAGTCTAGTGTGATGGCTCATGCCTTTAGTCCCACTCACGAGGCAGAAGCAGGCAGATCTCTGTGAGACTGAAGGCAACCTGGTCTACATAGAAAATTCCAGGACAACTTGGGCTACAGGAAGACCCTATTTCAAAAAGTTGAAAAAAAGGGGGGTGGTCTGGAGAGATGGTTCAGCGGTTAAGAGCACTAGCTGCTTTTGCAGAGGACCTGGGTTCAGTTCCCAGCACCCACATGGTAGCTAACAATTGTCCATGACTCCAGTTCTAGGGGATCTGACACCCTCTTCTGATCTCCATGGGCATTGCACAAGAGAGGTGCACTTACATACATGCATGCAGGCAATACATTCATACACATAAAATAAAATAAAAAAAAAATTTTTAAAGGCAAAAAAACTGGGCATGTTGGCGCACACCTTTAATTCCAGCACTTGGGAGACAGAGGCAGGCAGATCTCTGTGAGTTTGAAGCCAGCCTGGTCTACATAGTGAGTTCTGGGCCAGCTAGAGCTACAGAGAGACACTGTCTCAAAAAGACCAAAATAAGTAAAAAAATAAAAAAATAAAAGACCAAAATAAAGGAAGAAAAGAAAAATATTATTAGCCAGAAAGCCTTCATACTCTAAGAATGAAGTTGGTTAGTGTTTACTTGAAGAATAGTAGAAAAGTATAAAGCAAAAGGCACTTACCAATAGCAAAAGCAGTTTCCTATACAGAACTTTATTTCTACCCACAGCGGAGGAGAGGGAAGAAGCTGGGGAGGAGGAGGGGGTTTATTGACTTTTCAGTTTGTTTAGTTTTTACTTGCTTTAGTGATCACTTCCAAATACTGTGTATGCTTGCCTGGAAACTGGAGTTTTAGGCACTAGTCTTTTTTTTTGTTTTGTTTGTTTGTTTGTTTGGTCTTTTTGGTCTTTTTTGAGACAGGGTGTCTCTGTAGCCCCAGCTGTCCTGGAACTCATTATGTAGACCAGGCTGGCCTTGAACTCATAGAGATCCGCCTGCCTCTGCCTCCCAAGTGCTGGGATTAAAGGCATGTGCCACCACAACACCTGGCTCAGGCATTTTTTTTTTAAGGAACAACTTTTAAATTTTTTAAAATATGTATATGTGTGTGTCTATATGTGCATGTGAGTGAGTCAGAGAAGGGTATCAAATCTCTTGAAGCTGGAGTTACAGGTGGTTGTAACCTGCTGGACATGGGTGCTGAGAACTGAAATCAGGTCCTCTGGAAGAGCAATATAAGCTCTTAAGAGCAAAGAGGTAGTGATAAGTTATTTCTTAACTTTAAAAAGTTATTATTTCAGTTAAGTATTTAAAAAGTTTCTTCTGGGCTAACAAGATGGCTCAGCAGGTAAAGGTGCTTGCTGCCAAGGTTGACAACCCGAGTTTAATCCCTGGGACCCACATGGTGGGAGGAGAGAACTGACTCCTAAAAGTTGCCTTTTGACCTCCACAGGCTTGACTGGCATGAGGGGCGTGCACATACAGTAAATAAGTAAATGAATAATAAATAAGTTTAAAAATTGGCCTGATCAGAAGTTTATCTTATTAGGATTTTTTATTTAAAAAATTTTATTTTTACTTTATGTGTACAAGTAAAACACTGCATATATGTCAGTCCATCATGTATGTAATGCCCTCAGAGGCCCGAAGAGGACATTGAATCTCCTGGAACTAAAGTTATGGATGGTTGTTAGCCATCTTTTGAGTGCTGCAAACTGAACCTGAGTCCTCTGCAATATCAGCCAGTGCTCTTAACCACTGAGCCATCCCTCCAGCCCTTTATTAAGCTTTTTAACATGTGAACAGGTTTTTCGTTACTGTTTTTGGTTCTAGGGATCAAATCGGGGCCCTAAGCATGCAGCAAAGCCCTCTAATCTCTGAGCTACACCCCCAGTCATCAGCCATTTTTATTGGTTTTAAAAGACTATCATTGTTTATTTTGTTGTTTTTAATTTTATATGTATGCGTGTATTGCCTGCATGTAGGTAAGCGCACCCATGTCGTGCAATGACCACGGAGGTCAGAAGAGGCTATCAGATCCCCTGGGACTAGAATTATGGACAGTTTTTAGCTGCCATGTGGGTCTTGGGATTCGAACCCGGGTCTTCTGCAAGAACAACCAGTGTTCTTAACCACTGAGCCATCTCTCCAGCCCCAGGACTTTTGTTTTTCTATGGAGAGAGGAAAACTGGGCTGGAGCCCATCTCTCCCCTCTGCCCCCAGCAGCAGTTTGTTCTTTTGTCTTCAGTTGCCTAGGTTTGATATTTAAGTCATAAGAATATTGTTTTATTTTAAAATCACATATATATTTATCTGTGTGTGTGTGTGTGTGTGTGTGTGTGTGTGTGTGTGTGTGTGAGTGCCATAGAGACTGTAGAGGTCAAAGGTCAGAGAATCAGTTCTCTCCTACCATCTGGTTTCCAAAGATAGAACTCAGGTCATCAGAGGCTTGGCAGCAAACATTCTTATCTGCTGAGCAATCTTGCCAGCCTGAGAATATTTATTTTGAGAATAAAATTTATTCATTCCATAAATATTTATTAACTGCTACAGTTTGCAAGACCTTTTGTCAGAGGCAGTAATAAAATATCCAGAGCCAGTCTGAACTTTCCTTCCCTATGACGTTTGCCAGACCATGTTCTCCCTTCCAGATCCTGCTAACACCTCACCTTCTTCCAGTCACCTTTCAAAATGGTCCCTTTAGCCTCCATCATAGAACATCGTAGCTCTGTGTTCACTGAGAACCTCTGTATAGAGTTCAGATGCTTATAAAGTGAGGAGGCTGCCTTTCTGCCTGCTCTGCTGCTCGCTGCCTGAATGACCTTGGATGTTCACCTCCCAGAGCCTCTGTCTCTGACATCTGAGGACCACTCTGACTGTGTTGGCTTCTGATTCTTCCTATAAAGAATTCTTGAGCATAAGTACTAGGCCTGTGGTTATGTATTGGATGGTGGATTCAGCACACATTTAATTTCTTGTGCCCTTGAAGTATAATGTTGTGGCAGGTACTTTTTTACAAGAAATTTGTTTTTACATCAATCCCTCACATTTGGCTAAAGGTAACTCAAAGGCCCTGGCTTGGACTTAGGTCATTTTTTAACCTGTGCTTGGGTCTCATTTACTTTATTTAGGATAGTCTCAATAAATGACTTGAATGAATAAAATACAGGTGAATTTTAAAATGATGAGAGTCATTTTGAGAGACTGTTACCAAATTTCAGCAAGGACCTGAAATGGGCCATAAAATTCATAAGGTTTATAGCCTTAAGGCCCCTCTGCAGTGAGATTTGAAAAGCGGCATTTTGATATAGTACTGTATTTTATTTTCTTTCATTATTTTGTGTTCCTGGGGACTGAACCTAGGACCTTGCTAAGAAAATTCTCTAGTACTGAGATATATCCTCAGTCCATGGATTTTTGTGTGGGTATGTGTGTGCATAGTACATACAAAAGTATGTGGATGCCAGAGGACAGCCTTGGGTGTTCCTGGGGTGCTTTCTACCTTTTGCTTTCTGAGAGAGGATCTCTCACTGGCCTAGGATTCACAAGGCTAGGCTGGCTGACCAGCAAGCCCCAGGGATCCACCTGTTTCTGCCTCCCCAGCACTGAGATCACAAATTCAGGTTGTTAGTCTTCGAGACAAATGCCTTTACCAGCTAAGCCGTCTTGCTGGCCCTTTAGCAGTTTTCAATAAGCATCTTTGTACTTACATTTCTAACACTTATTCTATTATTTACTGAGGATGCATTTATTTTCTTTCTTTTCTTTTTAATTATTTATTTATTTGGAGACAGAGTCTACTTTGTAGCCTAGAATGGCCTTGAACTCATAGCAATCCTTCTGCCTCAGCCTCCCAAGTGCTGAAATAACAGGTGTGAGGCACCATGCTTGGCCTAAAGATACAGTTCTAAAGTAAGACTATCAAAAGATATGGTCATATTTAAATTTTTTAAATATATTACTAAATAGCTTTTCCAGAGAGTTGTGCCAATTTATACCCCCATTAAAGGAATAGAAAAATAGTTTTTCACCAACATGAGGCATACTAATTCTTCCTATTTCATCAGTCTGACTTGATTTTTCATGTTTTTTCCCAGAATTGCATCTCACTGATTACTAGTTAAGCTAAACATATTTTCATATCTCTATTTTTCCTTTCATGTTGGTGGGGGGAGCTAGGAATCAAACTCAGGACCTCATGTATATTAAACAAATACTCTATATCTGAGCTACAGGCCTAGCTCCTTACACTTTCTTTGTGTTGTGTGTTCACATCCCGATAGCCCATGTATTAAAAAAGTACATAGGTTAATACAGACATACATAGACACAGATATCAACTATGCTAAAGTGAGATGTCTTTTTCTTAAATTCTTATTTGTATTTTGAGCTTTACTTACCTTTTTCCCTCTTCTTGGGGATAGGATCTCACTACATATCCTAGGCTGGCCTCAAGCTTGCAATTACCATGTTGCCTCAGGACCCTGTCTGGGTTGCAGGTATGCATGACCATGCCCACCACCTAACAGTGTTTAAAGACAATTATCCCACAATGCATGAACTTGAAGTGTCTTCCCCATAGTTAATCTACTTTTTTTCCTTCATGTTTCTGCCTCAAGTGCTTCCCCCACAGGAGGCAGAGGTTACCCACCGCCTACCAGACACATTTTCCTCTACTTTACTAAGGACTATGGCTGCCTGAAATACAGTTTTGAGCCTTCTCTACAGCTTACTGTGGCCAGATGATCACTGAAGCTAGCAAGGGCAAAGCTGAGCTCCTGAAGTTCTGGTGAGCTCCTGAAGACTGAGGCTATGCCCATCTGCCTTCTCTGCTGCCTAGGAGGAAACAGCTAGAGCTCTGGCAGCCCTTTTGGACCAGTTCCTTTTGTGGATGAACGCCAGGTTTGACAGAGGGAAAGAGAAGCCTGGAGTGCTGATGTCACCACCCTGGGTTAGCTATCTGTGAACTTCCTTCATGTGAGAGGATAAATAAGCCACTGTGGCCAGGCCTTTGGTCAGAGCAACTCTACCTCTTAGGAACACTTCCTAACTCACATGTTTACCTGCATTTTCTTCTAGTTGTTTTTATCACTATGTATTTCTTTAAAAATAACTGTGATTTTACAGTGTGTCTAAAATAATAATATTTTGGTAGAAATTCTCCAAATTGACAATTGCTAGACACATGTGTACGTAAAATTATGATACCATATTTTAAGAAAGGATCCAATTCCAATTACAGAGTTTTATTCTATTTAGGCTTTTTATTTTTGACATTAAGTTAATGATCTTGATGTGTTTTTTTTTTTTTTTTTTTTTAATTTTATGTGTATGGGTGTCTTGCCTGTTTCTATTTAAGTGTACCCATGTTGAACAATACTTGCAGAGGCCAGGAGAGGGCATTGGACCCCCTGAAACTGGAGTTATGGACAGTTGTTAGACACTATGCGGGTGCTGAGAACCAAACCCAGATCCTCTGCAAGAGCAGCCATTGCTCTTAACCACTGAGCCATCTCTCCAAGCCCTCAAAATCTGTGTTGTAAAAAAGATTCCATGTTGGGACTGGATGGCTCACTGGTTAAGCACAGTGGGCCTGGGTTTGGTTTCTAGCACCCACATGGTGGCTAACAACCATCCATAAATCCAGTTTCAGGAGATCCAACTACCCTCTTCTGACGTCTGTGAGCATTGCATATATGCAGGCAATACAATCATACACATAAAATAAAAAATATATTTTTTTAAAAAGATACAGGCCTTGAGAAGTAGCACAAGACCCATTTTCTTACTGATCATGGACTTTTACTTGAAAAGTTAATTTTAGAGGATATAATTACAAATGTGAAACTCTACATATATTTTGAAGTTTTCTTTTAAACTGAAGACAACTGGATACATATTTAAATGTATATAATAAAGAACGAAATTTTACCACAGTTTCACTACAGTCAGAACATCATTTTAATATTCTTTTACGAATGTTTAAAACATAAGTGATTTTTCTAGAATTTAACAATATATAATTAGTGCTTGTGTAAAAATTAGCCTAATTGGAAAGTATTAGCATTCAATTTAATGTAACTTTCCTTGGCTGATACTAAGTACTGACTTTGTATGATTATACTCTTATAGTGATCTGCAAGACAGTAAATATAATTTCCTAGTGAGGAAGAAACTGAAGTTCAGAAGTATTAATTCACTTGTCCAAGGCCACTTCCAGGCTGACTGGAAAAGACAAGTATTGACTCCAAGGTCTAAACTCTTGGCTATTCATACTAAGCCCTGGGCTTCATCTGCTGGACAGAAGAGGCGAGCGAGCCAGTTCCCCACAGGTGACGTTAAAGGAGAACGGGTACCTACCAGTGCCACACAGGTGCACTATGGTAATTCGAGTGGGCAAGGAACTGCCTTTTGAGTTGGCTGCAGACACAGTTGCAGCCCAAGTCCCGGTTCTGGGAATGACCCAGGTCCACGAGGTGCGTTCTGTGCTGTTCTGCAGTGCGGTTCTCCTCCCTGTCATCTCCTGCAAGGTCACCTGATAGTAGAGGATGTTCCCCCGTGCTTCTGATGTGCTCAGATTCTGCAAGAAAAGACATGCACATACTCTCAGTACCATAGGTGTTCTGGGTGCTTGATCTCTTCACCTCTTGGTCCCTGCTTTGGGGGTCCATGTTAATCTCTCCACTGCACACTTTTATTCAGTGACCCACATCGCCACAACTACCATTTAGAAAAAAATCAGTTAACATTTAAAATATACTTCTTAAAAACACACTGATTTTCCTTTCTTCAAAATCAAAGTTACTGGGGCTGGAGAGTTGGCTTAGCGGTTAAGAGTACTGACTGCTCTTGCAGAGGACCCAGGTTCGATTCCCAGCACCCATATGGCAGCTACGAACCATCCTTAACTCCAGTTCCAGGGGAATCCAAAGCCCTCTTCTGACCTCTACAACATTGCACGGCATGGGCGCACTCACATACATGCAGGCAGTACACTCATACACATAAAATTAATAATAATAATAATAATATCAAAGTTACTAATGGTGAACACAAACCAGTGGGAAAAGTGTGGAATCTGAACTCTGAAGCCTTGGCTCTGAGCTGCAGCCTCACCGCCACTAAGATTTTGGGGCAAGGTGCTCAGCCCCTCTGAATTTCCATTTCTAAATTTGTGAAATACACTCCCAGACACACAGAGACACAACTTTTTTTTTATACAGAAAGTGCAATGCTGCTTAAAACATCAAACCCAAGACTTTCAGGAGCTAAACTAGTAAAATCTATACTTAGGAACTTGAATTAGCCATCTGTGTTAGAAAACTAAGAAATCGTTCATAAGCGTGTGACTAACAGGTTTCCAAACTGCAAAAATTCCAGTTGCGATCATCTGGGAACAATCCCAGAAAGCAATCAGAAAACAAATTATCTGTATTGTTCCCTTGTTTGTACAAGGACATGGAAACTGAAGCACAGAAAATGGAGAGTGGTTGAGTCTAACCCTGGCAGTGCCTAGGCCTGTCTGTTGCAGGGAGAGGGAGGCTTGGTTTACAGATTCAAGTGGCATGGATTTCTGGGCAAGGGTATCCCTTCATGGTGGGAGACCCAAGCTACCTTTGCTGAAAGACACGTTAAGGATCAGCAAATGCCCCTTGCACTGGTTTCCTGCTTACCAAGAAGTCTAATACTTTGTTTCCTGTGTAGTTTGTGTTGGAGGAAGTTGAGCTGACATGAATGGCTGATGCACTTTTTTTGTGTGGTTTTCACTTTAAGTGGATAGACTGGCTCTCTGAATACACTTTGGATCCTGAAACAATTAGCATACTGGGCGAAAATGTTCTTATTTGCTGAGTCAAGTCTGGTTGGCCTAGCAGCTGCATTCTCACTGTAAATTAGTTTGTAACATTCAGTTTTTATATTGCCATTTCTGAGAGCTTAACTAATGCAGGTCTGTTTGGGGACCATTTGGGGGTTCATAAAGCCTAAAATGATCATTTACAATCAGTGTACCAGGTGAAGGCTGTGCTGCTAATAGCGGACCCATTGACGAATAGTCAGTGTTCCTCTAAAGTTATTTCAGATGCCTGTCACAGCTAATGTCATAGACCTGTCACAGGGATTAAATAAGCAAGTACTTTTAAAAAAATAATTGTTTTTCCCTGTTTCTTGAGATAGCCCTGTCTGGCCTAGCACTCACTACTTGTACTGGGCTGATCTCAAACTTATGTTAGTCTTTCTGCCTCTGGGATTATAGGTATGTGCCACCATACCCAGCTAAGCAAGTGCTTTTGAAAACGTGATGTTCTAAGCTCTTACTCATAAACACTGACAGAGGAATGAAACAGTTGCCCATGAGGGAAGTCATCCCTGGCAAGAATGGAAGTATTGTGAGCACAGTTAACTTCTAAGGAGTGGCTTGGTGGGGGGAATGTGGGACAGTGTGGCTGGGTGGGGTGGTGGCGATGGTGATACACTTACCTCAGAACCCACAGAGCAGGCAGGGAAGGATGAAGTGAGAGATAGCTGAGGGATGCCTTTCACTAGCAGGCCTTTGCTTGTACTTATGGTGTTCTCCCTCTGCAATGATGTGCCACTCCTCAAGCCCCCAGTCACCCTTTTAACTCAAAGTTGCAGAGCAACTTCTCTAATTGTGCAGTTGTGATACATTATGACAGCAGCATCAACAGAAGACATGAGTTCAGCGATTTGGAAGGGTGGGGACCAGCAGGCTCTGAGTCACAGGAGACAAGCTGGATGAAAGGACTGCCATCCTGAGGAGCCAACTGACTCCCCAGATAAACATGTGTATTCCAGTGCTACTTACTTGAGTAGATGACAAAGGAGAAATAACATTTGTTAACCATGAGCCAGGAGCTTTACATTTGTTGTCACGTTTAGCTTTTCCATTCTGACGGGTAAGCCCCGGCTTAGAGCAGCCTAGCAATGATCTCAAGCAGTCCCCCCTGAGAAGGCATATGAGATTCTCGAGTGCCCCCTGGTGGGTGCCTGGGTGAAGGCATTATCTAGAATGTGTTTCTGGCAACACCAGGAGGGTTTCTAACACCTGGATTCCTCTAGCAGTGCTGAATATGGTTCTCAGGCCAGTGTTACTGTCATGTTGTGGTAAGAATGTGTTAAAGGAAATGCATACTGACTGCCTTCTCCAGTTTTCTTTCTGCTCTGTCCTGTGGAAAATGATTGAAATCTTGTACGGAAACACAGACAGTGTATTCCTTCAGGACACCTACAGTAAGTGTTCTGCTGCCCACAAAAGGCTGTCACCATCAAAAATAATTTGGTGAATGAAATGCAACACAAAACAAAATCTGGCACATTTCAGATCATGATGCACTTGTTTTTCTTTCTTTCTTCTTTTTTTTTTCGGAGCTGAGGACCGAACCCAGGGCCTTGCGCTTGTTAGGCAAGCACTCTACCACTGAGCTAAATCCTCAACCCCTCTTTCTTCTTTTTTAAATTAAAATCTATTGGAAGAAGACTGTCTCTGAATTGGTAAGCCATTTATTCCTGGGACTTGTAAGAAAGGTGTAATTTGGGAACTGGAGATGGCACAGTGGTTAAGAACACTGACTGTTATTGCAGAGGACTGCGGTTCGATTTCCAGAACCCACATGGCCACTAACAACCATCTATAAACTCCAGTTCCAGAGAATCTGACTCCTTCTTCTGACCTCTGTGGGCATTGCACGACACGGGTGCACTTACATACATGCAGGCAGTATACTTAGACACATAAAATAAAAATAATAAAATATTTTTAAAAACATTTAAAAAGAAAGGTGTAATTTTCTCCTGATGCAAATAATGAAAAAACAAAACACAAACAATACCCCCACAACAGCTTAATGGCTCTGGCACAACAGATGGAATTGAAGTTTAGGCCATGTCAAAGAGCAGCAATTATCAAGACCTCTTAGAAAGCTCCAGGAATTTGATCTCATTGGTCACAGCTCTTTTTTCTTTTCATTTTTGGCTTTGGACTATTGTTGGCTTTGTATCTGTGATATTGAGGCTGAACATAGGCCTTGTGCATGCTGGGCAGGTGCTCTTAACACTGAACTCTGACCGCAGCCTCACTTCTTATTGGAACAGGCCTTTGTTTTCCTCACTACTCTGCATAACACTCATGTCACTTTGGGCAAGTCATTTTATCTGAGACACAAAATCCTTTTTTTTGTTTGTTGTTTTTTTTTAAAAACAGAGTCTCCCTGTGGCCCAGATGGCTTGGAAGCTTTATATAGATCAGGCTGGCCTCAATCTCACAGAGATCTGCCTGACTCTATAATTAAAGGCATGTGCCACCATACCCTTGTTTTAAAAACAAGGATAGCTGGGTATGGTGGTGCACACCTTTAATCCAGCATTTGGGAAGCAGAGGCAGGCAGATTTCTGTGAGTTCGAAGCCAGCCTGGTCTACCTAGTGAGTTCCAGGACAGCTGGGGCTACAGGGAGACCCTGTCTCAAAAAGAACAACAACAACAAAAAAAAAACCAAAAAAAAAAACCAAGCAAACAAACAACAACAACAACAAAACCAAGGATAATATTGACTCGGCATATCCAATGTCAGGGTTGATCACAAAATATAATTTGTGAGTTTAAAACTGAGTACCAGGCTGTCAGGATGGCTCAGTGGGTAAGGGTGCTTGCTCTCAAGCCTGACGACCTGAGTTCATGTCCCTGAACCCACATGATAGAAGAGAATGGACTCCTTCACAGGTTTTCCTCTGACCTCCACAGTAGGGTAGTACATGTACCCTACCTCACAATACATACATACATGCATGCATACATATATACATACATATTAAAAATCCCCCAAACTGAGCACCTTGATTTTGGAATTCATGACTGTCTTCAGCAGCCCTAATACAAGTGAAGAAGTAACAGGAAGAGTTTGTTGTTTACTGTACTGAGATAGGGACTCACTGTGTTGCCCAGCTCAGGTCCTGAGTTTGGTGATACTCCTGCTTTAGCCTGCTGAGTAGCTGGGGCTACAGGTACATACCAACCATGTTCTGCTTTTGACTCCAGGTTTTACACATCATTCCACTGAAATCTTCCATGTATGGGTCTCTCCCTGCAGACTGTCTATCAGTTTACCTTTGCACCCTCATGGGTATGCATGATGCTTGCCTTAGGAACAGTCATGTGACTCCCACTTTTGCTAATGATCTTGTGAATTTTCACAGCAGCCTTGTGTCATGCATTAGTATTATCTTAAGTTTACTCATGAGGAAAGCACTGCAAAGAAAGAGTAAATAACTTGCTCAAGAACACACATGGAACCCCACCCTTTGGCTGCCACAGAACCTCACAGAGAGTCCTGCCCACTCATGAGATCAGAGGTCAGCTCCTTCCAGCCCTGGAATGTCCCTCAAATGACACAGAATCAAATAGAGAACCTGGCTCATCGGGTCAGAGGCTAGCACTCCTACAAACCCTAGCACTCCAGACACTAGCCTCACAAAACTGTGCAGAAAATTCATCTGGTTGTCAGGTCAGTTGTCAATGCCCCTGCCAACCCTGGAACTCCATTCCCTTCCCAGCCACCATTGAACCA